GGCTCCAGCTCCCCTTCAACCTTGTGTTAGATAAAAAGGTTAGAAAATAGACCACTGGATCTCCTCTCAAACAGGTTTAGTAATCTTTAATCTATTTTCTTCCCACCTTAATTAAGGCTTGTCCTTCAGTCTTTTACTTTTTTAAAAAATCAAGAATCACCACTTTCTGTATTAGACTCACCAGTTGCAAAACACGTGCCTTTAAGTCTATAACCCCTGCACTGCACAGGGAGAATGAGGATGCAGACACAGTTTTCTGACATGCCCACCTGTCAAAGCCATTTCATTTCCATTGCCTTATGGGAGATTGAGAACTGTCTGCAGGAGTTGCAGGTGATCAGTGAGTCACAAACATTACTAAGACTACAAGCTGTGAGGACACTGCCTGACTAATGCCTTCCCCACACAACAATTGTGAGCCACTGCTTATTTTATTTATGGAGCTAATGTGTTTCTACACCTACATATCAATGGTTAACACTTTAATTGCGTTTTGAGGAACAGCTGTGTTGCATGTTGTTATAGGTGTTTTATATTACAATAGTTTCCATTGGTTTTATTAATGCAGTATTTTGACTTCCTGCAGGTACAATCTTTACCTTTAATATGAAGCATAGGAATATTATATTTCTCACATTCTTTGAGTTGGCATATAGAAAATAGAAAAATAACATCACTTGCACAGCATTTTTCTTTGATTTTATGTTTTGTTTTTTTGCTGTCTTTGATAAGAATTGCTCTCAAAATGCTAGCACCAAAATAAACTCAAAGCCAGGGCAAAAGGCCTTTCAGTTCGGGTGACTGAGTCTGGATATTTATGCACGTTGACTGGCAATGTCACATCTGGTTTTTTGCTGTTTGAAAAATTGATGTGCTATCATTTAGCAAAATTGAGACTTCCTACGTCCACAAGAAAACTGTATCTTGACATAAGAAATGACAAAGTGGGATTGCATTTTACACAACAGAATGGCAAATCATCTGTTTTTATTTTTGTTAAACATTTTTTTTTGTTTAATATTTTATGTCTAGGCCACAAACAGAAAATGTATTAATTGGACAGAGCTCACTCAAATCCCAGTGAAACAACTCCAACGTTTCTCTAGTCCCACACTTTTCTCCAATTTCCATTTAATCTCTTAGACAATCAGCACAGACCCTGTAACATATCAACATCTGGGTAGCTTGAAAGGTGCACTGTTTAGAAAACTATGTGTGCACTAACCCATTCTCTCCATGTTAATGCAGGGATGATTACTGTAAACCAAAACATTCTAAAATTGCCAAGTTTTGTTTAGACTAAACTGGCTATTTCAATTCGGGCAGCCAAATCAGTCCCTCAAATGCAGCTACTGTACCTCAGGGATTGGATATAGACTATCTGTGCCAAAACACGTCACACTGGCCAGATCATAGGAACAGGAGCATTGTAGCAGAAATTTATTTTTTGTGGAAAGTGTACTGTAAGTGTAAAGCACTGTTCCTGTTCTGTTATATGAATATCCATTATGTTTCATTATAAATAAAAAATCTGTGTTCAAAAAACTTTGTTTCACCGATGGCAGCATAAATATCACAATGTATTGACAAAAAAAACAGAAACCACTGGTTTGTTTGCCTGGAGCTGCTTAAAGAAATGCACTAAGAAATGACCTCAAGTCATTTGCATCTTCTTGTATTTGCATCCATTCCTGGCAGAGATGGTTGTTTCAAAGTATTCCATTATCCCAAAGTGTTCTTTAGATGTTAATTGGAGTCTGTTTGTAGTGAAAAAGAAGAGAAAGGTATTAGGTGTGGATTCCAATAACTACTGAAATACGCTCACAATGTGTTGACTTGTACAAATGTTTATTTAGGTGAGAGACTGAAAGCTCAGGTTAAGCAATGCCAGTCATCTTTATGTCTGTCCAGACACTGCATTCAGGTTCAGAGGTGGAAGTGCTGTAGCTTGAGTCTTATTATTGAATCTGGCTTTCCTGTGCTCTGAATTTAAACAGCTTCCTGCTGGAAACATTATGGCTGTGAAACCTGAACAATTGCTCCTACTCAATTTAATGCAGTTGGAGTTTAGACCATAATATGTTCATGAAATTTGTCTGTGGGGCAAAACTCACTGTGGAAGAGATAGCAATGATAGTCACCCTCAAATACATTAAGAAAGCTATACTGATAAGCTTTTCATACAGATTCATTTATTCAGTGTTATCTTTTACCCAGTGCACATTTTTAGTGAAATATGAAATTGCATTTCTGGTCAAATTTAACTCTTTCAAACATAAAATCCTATTTATACTATGAAGATTTCTACAAAACAATAACCCAAAGCAGAGTTATTTTTGAGAATGACCACATAATGAATTGCAACTCGAAGCTGAAAGAGACATTAAAATAATCAAAGGGGATCACGTAAAAGCAAGTACATTTAAAACTTGTCCAGTGGATTTGCTGGGTGTATCTTTGGCAAAAGTACAGTATATACTGTACATTTTTTGTATCCTTTAGGCAAATATTGTTTTGAACAAGATGAGAAGCATTTTACTGTAGGGATTAAAATTTGGCTTTATCTTCCCCTGATTAAGTAAATGTAAATATGTAAATCCTTAAATGTCTGATGTATTGTTCTATGGTTGTTGATCTTCACAAGTATTGGATTAAAATGTACCCACAAATTCTACTAAACATGAAGCAGTCAGGTTTGGTACATGCAGGTATATTTGTATTTATAGTTTCCTTTAAAATATTTCAGCCTGATGCGTTTTCTGGCCTGGTCAGTGCATATGCTTCCTGCAGATCTACAATAATTAGAAAGTATCCTACTGTATATTCCAGATTAGATATGCTCACTATAGCTTTTATGTAGGCTAGTTATTTTTCAGATCATGACAGAACAACAGTGTGAATGAAGTCTGTTGCTCTGAATGGATCGTCCATTCATTTTCTGCTAAACTATAATGCTGTCACATCTTGACGAATCCTGTGCAGGAAGTTTGCATACACTGTATATTAACTTTATCTTTATTGTAGAAACTTAAACGTGTGTTCTTTAATCACTACATACTGTATTTAACCTTTGCAAAACTTATTGTGATAATGTGTGAGGTCTGACCATGCTTTTAACCAGAAGCGTACACTTTCTTTACTCCCTTTCGGGATCAGAGTGCAGGTGTGGAATCGATCCACGGGAAGTATGCAAGAATTGATAGGGAGAACAGAGACCATCTAGAGACAAGGAGAAAATGATTCTCTTTAGGGAGAATGAGTTAGCACCTAAGCAGTAAAGCTTTTGGCGTGTGTCTGAGACGAACGCCACACCAGCCGCGCGAGCATTTAATATAGGGTTCCCAATTAGGATCACCCATGTAGTTTAAAAAGAAAATGCATTCTCAATGTCAAGATCCTCTGGTGGTGAACAGCGGTATCACAGTGAAAAGTGAATTTTCGCCACTGTGTCACACTATAAATTTGTAATATATTCGTTGGAGTTCTGTTTTGTATAGAAATCTCCTGTTTTGGTGTTTAATATCAGTGTTTAATCATAAATTGTATGTCTTTAAAGCTTGACATTTATTTACAGTGTGCAGTATATGTATAGAGACAAATAATTTCAACATATTATTATCACATTTTCCCCTTTTATTATCTATACATCCATTTTCTATACCATTTAATGCAGTACAGGACTGCAAGGGAAGCTGTAGCCTAACCCAACACGCAAGGTGGGATGCACCCTGGATGGGATACCAGTCCATTGCAGGACACACACACACACACACACACACACACACACACACACACACACACACACAGACCAGGGCCACATCTTTTACAGATGCACCCAGAAGAAACACACATAAACCTGGGGAGAAAATACAAACTCACAAGTCCAGAATTCAACCCAGGACCCCAGCACTCCACAGCAACAATGCTAACCAGTGTGCCACCGTGCCTCTCTCCCTTTTAGTAACATATGATGCATGGCTGTAAACACTGGAGTAAATTACCTAAATATTTAATACAGCTGTACAATAATACAATATATAATAATGCAATATATATATATACAATATATAATAAAAAATACAATATATACAATTTATTAGATTGTGATATCTCTGCTCGTCACAATGTTTTTTTTAATCAAAATTATTGTACTGTATGCTTTTACATTTCATTTAATCAGGAATGCACACATTTAATTACATTTCCTGATAAATATTTTCACATATTTATCTTGCCCATTCCAGCACCTGTACTGAGAAACTATACTCCAAATAGGATCTTGAGGAACATGTTGGCCAATGAAAGTAGATACAAGATGACAGATGACTTTATACCCTAGAAAATCATTTTCCTCCCTCTTCTGAACAACAGTGATGTTATTGTCCTCCATAATATGCTGTTATTATAAACTCATAAGTACCTTCACCATAGTTCAGTTGGTATGTGTGCCAAATTAAATTCCTCTGCAATGTATAGTTTTCATGAAACAGTTCTGTGATTTGGCCAGCTAACATGCTTTACTAATATCTTACTTTTGCATAATACAGTATATAGTGCAGTAAATATATATAGCATCCTATGAATACTATTTTGATAATTTAACAAAGTTAGAATATAAGAATATTGATTTTATTTGTGAAACATTTATTATTCTGGATTAAGCCTCAGGAATACTGTACTGTACATAAATTGCAATGGAAGCAAAAAGTAGAAAACGTCACCTTGCAGAATATTTTTTTAAACTGTTCTTGATGACGTGATTCCCTGTTGATTTGAAACTCGTCAGAGCTGTGCAAGGTTTTTGTTGATTTTGGTGACCCCGCAGATTTTGCCTCAATATTTTTGTGGGATTCACATTTTTGGGGGGCCATGATTCAACCTTCCCTTTTTCCATCATGAAAAGGGTGGCCGGTGAAAGGACTTTATAAGAAGGGAAGGTGTTTCACGGATCATGTTTGCTGCCGTATGGACTTCCTTCAACTCCGTGTTTCCAATTCTAGACTCTTCACGGGCGGAGAAGAAAGAAAGCAAGTGCCCAACGCCGGGATGTGATGGGACGGGCCATGTGACAGGGCTGTACCCCCACCATCGGAGTTTATCAGGGTGTCCCCACAAAGACAGGGTACCTCCAGAAAGTAAGCAGAAAGGAAATATAATTATCAATTAGGTGACAAAACTTATTATATTTTTGTATCAAATATATATAACGTACTTTGTTTCCCTGCTTTTTTTTCTGAATGTTGTTGTTTCTTTTTCTCTTGCACTCCTGGTTATGAAAAAAAAGTCTGATGCACTGATTTTCTTTCCCCCCCTGTGCTGAAATTTATCCTTTTCCATGCACGGCTCTGTCTTTTTGGCCTGACATGTTGTTTGTGCATGTTGCACCCGTCTTATGGAAAATATACAACAGTCAAATTGAATTGTATTTGCACAGTTTCATTATGCTTCTGTCGTACAAATACTTTGCTTTCTCATGATTTCCCACAGTATGTGTGCCTTACATTACCTCTCAATACCTTTACTGTGATATCAATGTGCTTTACTACACTTTACTCTGCTTTTATCTTGCTAGTCCCCACTAAACTGGCATATGAGCTTTTACTGTTTCTTGAAGTTAAAATTAAAATACTGAAATAGTTTGCTTTGCATCACCCTACATCAGTTCTTTCTATACTACACAACAGATTGTAATATTTTATTATAACAATTAGAATACCTGTATGCTTCATATTTAGTTTTGCAAAAGGAATTGCAAAAGGAATTATGTAAACTCAGAATTCAAAGTAATAGATTCAACAAAATATGTTAGTTCACTTTCTAATTTCTACAAGATCTCTTTGAAGCAAAACAATGCTGTCACTTGTACTTGTGCTGTAGGTATGAATGTAATATTGACAAATATTTAAAGCAATGGAAATTCAGGGCTTACAAGGTCTTACTCATAAAATTATAAGCACCATTCTACTGTCCTGAAAGCAGTGCAGAATCAGTTTTATTAAAATAAAAACTCTCATAAGAAAGAATTTTAATTCTGATCTGGTTCTTCCTAATTATTGAAACTGGCAGTTTATTTTGCCTGTTTCAAAAACTCTTAGTCCAAACTGCATTAAAGGTTTTCTAAAACAGCCTATGATCATAAAAGTGACACGGAGCACACACGTCTGAAAAAGATTAAGCTGAACGTTTATTAACTCTGGAACAATTTAACCTGTCACTTCTTCGTTTTCTTGATGCAAATTTAGGTTGATAACATTTTTCATAGAAGTCACATTTTTGCAGCCATCTAAGTATTTAACTCATGTTGACAATAAACACACACAGTCCATACTTGAGCCTAGAGGCTTAACAGGCTGAAGTTTATTGAAGTTTATTGCTGACTCCCAGAAAACACTGGGTGGACTGGAGTAAATGGGGTGAAGCACCTCCCCTGTGGCTTCCTTTGGAAGTAAAAGGAAAAGTATCAAAATATTAAAGCATTTTTTCTGTCTTCTGCCAAAATCTTCGGGAGACAGGCATGCACCAGTCCATTGCAGGACAGACACACAGACTCAAACTTAAGCACGCAGACACCCACACAGCTACACACACCTAGGGCAAATTTTCCCAGAAGCCAATTAACCTAGCAGTCTGAAGAAGTCGGAGAACCTGGAGGAAACCCACACAAATATGGGGAGAACATACAGTACAAACTTCATGCAGATAGCACCCAAGTCTGAAATGTAACCCAGGGCCCCAGCGCCAAGGCACCACTGTTCTGCATTGCATCATTGAGCTGCCCATGTTTATTATTAATATTAATGTTGCTGTTGTTGTTGTAGTTGATTGTACAATCACACTGCGGAGTTTAGCGAAGACCCTGGAATTGTCTCCCCTTTCAAACCTTGCCATGATATTTGTAATGGTCAGGATGTCAGAACTAGAGATTTAATATATCAGCAGAAGACAAACCTCCTACAGCACATTTCCCCTGGTCACCCTATTGGGTGGGACATTCATTGGGAAATTTTGGTGCTGAGGAAAGAATGTTACCTACTGATCCATCAGCCGCACTTATTGAAGTAACCTAGTTTTATTCCTATCCCAGTATTGACCAAATCTAATCCTGCTTTCTTTATGAGATCTGATGAAATCAGGCTACAAAGCTTTAACTTTGCCTAGTACGTAATTTAGTACTCCTGTTTCATACTCCAATTGATTTCCAGTTTATGATTTCTCTGTTTATCAGGGGTCACCCTGTCATGTTTTTTCAAGAACTCGATCCTTTTTTTATTAAGGATCTTAAGAATCCCTTCAAGGTGCTGAGTTAAGCTTTCAGATATTGTGCCTAAAGAAAAATACTCACTGTTTCAGCTTTGCTTCAGGTGTTCTTATTGACAACTCAAGAACAGTTTTATTAATCACTGCATTTTGTACTTTATAAATTTGTTCAGACTTTCTAACTTGTTATTATGTTTATTTTTACATATTTGGGTTTCAAAGCACAGTTTTTGTACTGTGGACCACATTAGTTTCAGTGAGTTTGGACATGCCTTAAGCCCAATGGTAAACCAATAAGTAGGAACGTCTGAAAACAAATATTTTTCTAAACAAATGTGTACTATTTTTACTTGAACATAAAGCAAATACAGTGTGGAGCTTGTGTGTTCTCCACGTGCTTGGATGGTTTTCCTCCAAGCACTCCGGTTTCTTCCCACTGTCAGAAGACATACTGGTACTGTAGGTTAACTGGCGCTGCTGTGAGTGTGTGAATGTTTGTGTCTGTGTGCCCTGCGATGGACTGACATCTGATCCAGAGTCTGTGCTTCCTCCCGCCCGTTGCTTGCCAGGATAGGCTCTGGCTCCCCAGCAACCCTGAATTGGAAGAAGTGGTTAGAAAATGGATGGATAGGTAAACAAACACAGACTAAAACCAAAAGCAAAGACTGAACCAGGGACTGATTCCAAACTTCTGATTCTGGACAATCTGTCATATTTCAGCCATCTGTTGTTTGCCAAGTCACACTTGGCCCGAGTAGCTTGCAAACATCTTCTAAGAACACACAATATGAACATCGAAAAGGTGCAAAATAGAGTTGCTGGCAAACAGGTATGTAAGGAGCTGTCCACATGACAAAAAATATCAATGGCTCGTCATGAGAATTCAATCCTGCGATCATTCATTACATTCAATTATTTCACTTTTCATGATAATCCTTTGGATACCCCAGACCAACAATAATCATGAGTACATAAATATTGTAGACTCATAATACAAGAAAGATTAAAAATATACCCTTCTTCTTACAAATTCTCTCACTATATATGTAAAGTAGAAAAACACATATAGTATCATTGTATTGTATTGTTTATTTCAGGAAACCAGTATTGTTCAAAAAGCTACAGTATATGTTTAGTTATTGATATTGAGATGGCTCTGAGCTTAAAATACTTCAGAAATGTTTCCACAATACAATTTCAACGGTAGTGTGTTGGTTAAGTTGCTTTGTTATTGAATATACTTTTGTAGGAAGATATTTTTTATTCCTGGTAAGGCATTGTGACATTGAGAGTGTTTAGGCTGTTAATGGAAGGAGGAATGCAAGGAGGCTGTTGTTCTGGCTGGTGTGGAAGCGTTGTTGCCCTTTTATTGACAGCGGGTGTGCTGTTCATGGGGAGTAGGAAGAGCAGGGAGAAGAGAACAAGAGTGAGCAGGAGTCTCTCCTGCTTTTATGGGGGAGGGGGGTACAAATGTTGGAAAAGGGGAGCCAGAGAGCAAAGGATAAGGGCCAAAAGAACAGTCCAAATGGGGGAGGAGTGGATTGCCACAGTATTATCATTCAATCTTGTTCCCCTTTTGTACATAAAAAATGGCAAAATTCTTACTAAAAATCTAGATATTTGTCCTATTGCAACAATGAGGCAATGATCATGCCAACAATAAGGTGCATAATACTGGTACCCAATTTTTTATAATGTGTAATGATTTGTTGATCCTTCTGTTTAAATATAAAAATTCAATTTTTTATTTTTTTGTCAACCAAATTTGAAATCACCAGCTGTAAATGACCTATCTTTATGTCAGTAACTCCTGCGCCACTCAAGAGAGAATGAGGCACACAGACATACACCTCTGACATGCCCACCTGCAGAGGTATTTGTCATTTGACAAGATGCAAATTACACAGTACCTCTCAAGAGAATTAATGCCAATTGGAGCAGCACTGAGTCTCTGAGACATTACTGCAAGACTGTGTGCCCCCAGCAATTCACATTTTTGCTGAAAAGCTAAAAGAGCACTGGTAAATTAATCCCAATTATAGCCCAGTGGTGCTCAACCAATTATTTGGGTCTAACCGGACTCATCAGGACTATAGAGATCATTTTGCACTCAGAGCAAGTTCCTTTGCAGCTAAAATCACCTGCTATGAGAGTCACATTTTGGAACTATATTGGTAAAGAAATAGATGTAAATTGCCCTTGTCTGTGGGGAAAAATTGTCAGGGAAATATTTAGTGGCTAGATGAATTGTCATGAACTTGAAATATGTGCAGCATACATAGAATGCCTTGCAAAAACATTCACCACTTCCCACTGATGTCCAATTTTTGAATTACAAATGAGGCATATTCTTTTTTTTTATCAAATATTTTGGTCAGAACAATAATGCTGAGACTGAGTATTTCTATTGGTGTAAAAAAGTTACTGTACTAAAATGTTTTGATTGCAACCCCCTTTGTTGTGGCAAATCCAAATTAGTTCATGGAGTGTAATTCATGGAGTGAAGCCTTTTATGTATTTATTGAAAAGCTTTGTAGATCCTATCTCTACTCTTACTCTTATTTTGAAAACAACCCACAAACATTGTTAATAGTGTAATATTAATATTTCATTGTTCATTATGTTTACTCATCATTAACCTTTTGTAGTTAAAGGGGGTAAGCAATGGAAAAACAATTATTGTTGTTGTTGTTGTAAGAAATATACAGTCCAATGTGATTTCAAGATTTCATAAAAGCATCTATAATTCTTGCTCTACAAAAAAAATTCATTTACACATGTTGAAGGAATATTTTTTGTTGACAGAGACAACTCAATGAACTGCTTTACTCAACAATATAACAAGGACATACTAGCACAAGTGTGATGGAACTTCTTTTCAGAAGAATAAAAAGATTAATCAGTTGCCCCCAACTTATTTTTAACATCGCTTGTGTTATAATATTCTTGAGTGATTGATGACTCACAGCACCTTGATAGGTCATGACAACATGCTCCCCCATATAAGTTAAAGTATCATTAATATGATGTAATAAGAAAATATGTTAAATTTGAAATGTGATGATACTGCTACTTTTTCACTCAGTGTCACCTTTTAACTTGTTAACTTAATATGGGGGAGGGGAGCTGTGAGAATGGGAGAAAAAGGAAATAAGGTTCAGCATCAATAAATTCCTTCGAAATTATTTTGGAGATCTACTTTATCGAACATTAAACAGCAGAACTTAGTCCAAGCCATAGAGATTTATCGACCACCTGAGCTATGACTATTTGTTAAGAGAATGCCTAATCTACCCGTGACATCTAAATCCGCAGAAAATTCTATCCCTGTAAAGGTGGTATGGTGTCTTCAATTACATGTAGGCCTGCTGCTTTTTAATTAATAGCTATACACAAATATGAAGATGAAAGTTACAGTCTAAAGATGTGATAATGATGAAGTGAGATTGAATGTGTAAAGATGTTATTTTAGGGTGACTTCCCTTCACTTCCTTCATGTGCTGAAAGAAAACAGAAGCTGAGATGTACTTCTCTGGGTGTCTGAAAATATTTTTTACTACGACAGAGTTTGATGTTATGGATAAGGACCTAATTGCCAGGGGTGCAGTATTTAACTGAATCTCATACATTAATCCACTTATGGCATCCCAATCAATTATTTTGCTTAATTAATTGGTCCCCGTAATGGATACAACAGAATAGGTAGTAACAGTACATACATAGTACCTTTTCTTACATATATAGATATAGAGCAACTTGCAAATACAGATTTTGCCTGATTTGTATCATCTTGCAGTTCTTTTCTTAGATGTGTGGAACATTTCTGCAGCTCAGAATGAACATATTTCATAGAATGTGTTCAGAAACAGAGTTTCGCATTTACATTTATTGCATTAGACAGTGACATACCATATGTGTAAAATTAGTAGAACTGACAAATGTATACAGTTATAAATACCATATATGCACTATTGGTCTTACTCAATTTGGTATACTAACAGGTCAAAAACAAAAAAGACTATGAAAATACAAAGAAACAGGTAAAGGTTTATTCTGTGCTGAAAAGAAAAGAGACAACTTTGTGGCTGTGGAGCCTTCTTCAGCTGTCAGAAGAAAGGCTGAAAAAGACCCCACAGCCAAAACATTGTAGCTGTTTTCTTTTTAGCATGGAATAAACATTTACCTGTTCCTTTGCAGCTTATGTATGCTGATGCAGCTACCTACTTGAATATGAAAATACTTACTGGGTCTATTCTGCTCAGCCCTCTGATTTTCCAATGTTCTTTATGCTTCTTTATGCTTGGCACTTTGCATGCTTAGGTTGATCTTTTCCTCTGTTCTTACTGCTTTAAATGTTGTGTTTACGTAATGCTAATGATCTTAACCGTTCACAAACTAATCTAATTAGCTATTTCTGGGACTGCTAACCTCCCCTATTCTACACATTTTATCTTCCACTCTTTCTCTGTCAAGTTCTTGCAATGTATGAAAATGTTCTTAAGTGCCCTACACCTGGCTGCACAGGACGAGGTCATGTTAATAGCAACAGGAACTCCCATAGAAGGTAAGTGTTTTAAGATTCCATGGACATTTACAAATGTTACCATACACAGCCCCTTTATTGGTGCCCCTTCATTGACTTATCTTAATCAAAAAAAATAATTATTTGGTTTCTTTTCTTATTCCTAGTACTGGGATCTAATACCAATTATATCGACCAATGCTTCTTGTCAGAGTTTCTCACATTAACAATATTTCTGATACATTAACAGTTAGGACTGCCAAAACTCAGTGATGATCTTGTGATTTCATGTAAAAGTGGTTGAAGATTAAGGTCAGATTACTAGTCAACAACTTCAGAAGTATGTGTTTTTTTATGTAACGTTAATGAAAACACATTGAAAAAATTATAGGGACTTGTAAAGTTAAAAAAATTAACGACACTTTATGAGCCATTTTAAGGCAAGGACCCAGCAAACAATGGTGTTGCTGAAAACCTCTTTTCTGAATTCGTGCCCTTCTAATCAGATGCTTAGGTGTCGCATTTGAGAGTGCGACCAGTCCAGTGATGTAGCAAGTTTCTGGAAGACGGTCACACTTAGCAGATGCTATGGGATGTGGTGTAGCTCTTGCTATTAACACTTCCCTGGAACACTGGTACAAATGTGTGGAGCAGACCTCTGGAGTCTCAAGTGCCCCCAGCAGATCACAGAACTGCAGCTGATCTGCACTAGGAGTCTGAATTCACCCCCTACTCTCTTGCATTCTGCCAGCAGTCGCTTTAGGCAATGATACAGTATATAGAACATCTCCTTAGGGAGCTGCAGTGAAATTACAGTTGTTAGAAGTAATAACGGAAAACAAAGCTAAGAACAGCAAAACTTTGTACCTTTATATTTCTTCCCACTACTGTCATGGAAACCCAACATACAGACAAATAGTGCCTCTTCAGTCATCCCACATCCCCTTAGTTAGCTACGACTAAAAAGCAAGGATTTAGTTCTGTGTCAGCTTAGAAATGTGTTAGATTTCAGTGCTCAGTGTAATTTGTTTCTGTATGTTAACTTATTAAGAGAACTGCTGCAGAAATCCCACACACAAAAATGTAAAAATGAAGTCTTTGTGAAACGTAAAGAAGGAATATAATGTAATTGGCTAGGATGTATGTGAGCGCCTTGGGGTTATTCAGACATTACTCTATGTTGTGTTACCCCACAGTGTACAAATGTTATCCATCTTTAAAATGAGTTTTCACCAAAATCCCAACACCTGGCCACATGAAGAGACTCTGTGTTGTAATTTGAAGCTCAAGTTGATACAGTATATACATAAACAGGATTTTTTATGGCAGAAGCTTATGTGACTTTGTAACAGATTCAAAAAATTGTTAGTTACAAGTGCAGGGAAGAAGGTATGATCGAAAAACAGATGCTATTATAAATCCAAAACTTTAAAATTAAATTCTAGTGTAGTCTTAAACGCTCCTGTGGTAGAAGTGTTAGATAACCCAAGTGCTTGGTGAGAGGCAGCTGAGTTGTGGAGCCTGCAAACAGCACAGAGGGAATAGCCCAGAGCTGCGTGTTACTGAGACCAGAGGGGGAGGGATCGCACACTCTGGAGCAGGGGAGCAGGCTGCTTGCAGACTCGCAAAACAAGAGTCGCCACACACACAGGGAAATGTAGTGCTCAGTGCTGCAACAGGTCAGGGAGCCAGAGTGTGGTGCGGGCAAACACAGTTCAAGTCCATGGTGGTACAGGCAAGGATCAAAACTGGGAGAGAAACAACAATGAATCCTGGAGTTGAGATCGAGTGAGACTCCCAGGTTCAAGTCGGTGATGCAGTTAACAAAGGCAAAGGGGTGATCCTGAGACACGGTCAGGACCAAAGATGGGGTCAGAAAACATGCTAAGCCAGACACGGGGAAAGCACAAATTGAAAGGCTCAGCTGTCAAAACACCATGACAGAGCTCTGAGCTCTGTCAGGTCTGAGCATTTATTCTGAGGAGTAGCTGGAACAGGTTTGGTTGGAAACCGACTCCAGCTACTCCAACTCGCCAGCTGATGAGAGTCTGTGACAGATGCCAGGGGGAGCCAGGTTGATGACATCATCTTCTTAATTTCTATAGTTGCTTACATTAATTAAACATTGATTTCATTAGAAAATTCAGCTGAGACCAAATTCTTACTTACAATAACAGTTGAGAAGTTTACCATTTAAACATCAGGGTATGCTAGTAGAGGAATGTGAACAAAATACCAAGCACACAGGGACAACAGCAAGTGTCAACCACAAGTGTCCCACATGAGTCCCACATGAGTTATACCTGCAGCCTTCCAGTAATGAGTGTAGAGCCCCCAACCATTATCCCATGCCACTGCCCTGAACATGGTTATTGAAGCACTAGGAGACCTTCAGTCTTTGTCATGAGGAACAGTAACATTCTATTCTTTCATACAATACTACGAAAACAGAACCATTCTCTTGATGATGTTTCCCAGACATCCACAACAGACATGACTGGGGTAAAGTACTTTGCTCAAACAGCAGTGTCTGTATGAAGGGCCTGGACCCACAACCTGCCTGCTGAGTCCCAAGCCCTAAACATTACTCCACGCTGCCCTTACATAACACTCTATACTGTACATCCTATGCTTTTACAGTATGTAACCTCATACCTGTCTTCAAATGGGCTGGATAGTTTATCTCTATATAGTCAGATGCATCCAAGGGTGCTAGATACAGTCATGTAAACAAGGGTTTCTGTATTCAACAACGAGCCCTTCAGAAGCTTAAATGTGTGGTGTGTTAGGAAATGTAATTGAGTAAGCACTGTTCTAGAGCCGTCCCCTTGGCAGCACAATTCAATTGTGCTAATGCTGTTGCAGCCTCTCTGGGTGTCCCATCGCTGCTGCAGAGAAGTTGGCAAAGGCTCAAGAAAAGCATCAGACCTGTGATGGAACAAAATCCAACCAAGCTTCGGACCGGGTTTTAAGGTATTGCATCTATTCTTTTGTTCACATTTTTTTTACTGAAAGAAGTGCGCCATACCTTTGAATTGTTTGTATGATGACAACAATACTGCACTAAATTCAGCATATTATAATAGTTACAAATACAGCACATTTTGCAGTGTATTCCCAATGCATCTGAGAGAATTTTCCAGCTTTCTTGTTCAAAATTCCACTATTAATACTATTACTGTTAACTACTATTAATACTAATCTGAAGAAGAATTAGCAATAAGAATGATATTACCTATTCAATTGCTATTGTATAACTTATACATTAATCTTTATTTAAGAAACACTTATTGTATCATTTAAAATTGCATCTCACATTATTGTTTTAGGTGTTAAAAAATAACAGTGCAACAGCTGTCTTATTTCTATACAACACATAATGGTTTATTTTCCAGGCCTATGTGCTTTGTAAAACAGCTGGAAATTCCACAGTATGGTTACAAAAATAATGTCTCCACAACGACACCTCGTTCTAACCTGGCAAAGGAGTTAGAGAAGTATTCCAAGACTACCTTTGATTACAACAGCTATGACAACCACGTCTACGGGAAACGAGCCATTGCACCCAAGGTCCAAGGCAGGGATGGGTCTCCTAAAGGATATGATGGTATGCACTATATATTTTAATTGTGCAGATTACTGGAAGGAATGCTGAATATAACACTGTTGAGCAGATTATAAATCACTCATAAATGATAAAATTGTAATAAATGTCTGTTGTCCTATTCTTCACCTGTGCAAGAGGGTTAGTTGACAACAGCAAGAATATATTTTTTTAATCCAAAATGGTTAATGTTTTCTGAATTAACTAATGATTTCTGAAAAAGTAGCATACGAAAGTACTGATGTAACATACAACAGTGGGAAAGATTTTTTTCCCCTTTGTATCTTCTTTTGCTTTTTTCTTTAATTGTTAATGGCATTTCACTATAACCCATGACAGGATATAGATGCCCACTGCCTCTTGCTTCTTTAGAAAACAAAATTCCTATCAATTTAAACAGTTTCTGATTACAATGCTGGTTAAGCAAGCCTCCGATCTCACATTCTCTATGGCAGCTTTTATTGTGTTTAAAATTCAGAACTTACATTCTCGAAAGATAGAGCTCTGAGGCTGTGCTTGTTGTTGAAATTCATTTTATAAAGCACCTCTCTCACCTTACCACAGATTTAATATAGCAGCACTCAAGATGGAACTGTTCGTATGGTAATGATAGACTCTGGTGGGTGTATGTGTATAAATGAATAAATCTATGGTATAATATTTAAGTCGTTGGGTATGTTTTGGGGGGGGGTTGGTGTGTCTGAAGCACATGCTGTTGACAGTGCTGCGCGTGTTGCCTGTCCTTGCAGCCAAGCGGTACTGTAAAAACTCCAGTTCAGCCAGCAGCACGACAAGCAGCTACGCTCCCAGCAGCAGCAGCAGCAGCATGAGCTGTGGAGGAGGCAGCAGTGCCAGCAGTACGTGCAGCAAGAGCAGCTTCGACTACACCCACGACATGGAGGCCGCCCACATGGCAGCCACTGCAATCCTCAACCTCTCCACGCGCTGCCGGGAGATGCCTCAGAACCTCTCCACCAAGCCTCAGGATCTCTGCTCTGGGGTAAAGCTCTTCCACACGCTCAGTGCATTAGCACTCTTGGCATGTTTCAGCCACTCTTTCTTTATGATGGTTTGCTTCACATCTAACCTCGGGAGCCCAGAGCTGCAGCGATAGATGATTAATTCTGATTGGGAGGGGTGTTTACATACTGTATGTGTGTGTGGGGGGGGTGGGGGATTCCAGTGTTGTATAAGTTATCCTAAAAACATGTGATGAGACAACATACATTTTTTAATCATAAAGCTTGATTTCATCCCAGGTTACATTTTTAACGACCTTACGTGTACTGTACAATACTGGTCTTGTCATGCACCTCTTAAATATAACCTGTGCTAACCTGAAATAAGTCAAAGGATTGTAAATTTAATTATCTGTGGCATCCATTGGCTGCCTGAATACAGAAGTTTTTATGTTTCCTTACTGGAATTGTGTCATACCCTGATAAAGGAGCTGCTTTCTTGGGTGGTTGTTGTGTATGGAAATATGAATAATTATAAGAAAAGAAGAAAGGATTCTAGGCTTGCACATAGTCTTTAAAGATTGCTACTACTGTATTTTAACTATCAAGCTCAGGGGGACTTCTTTATTTCAAATCAGATCTGAATATCAGCAGGAAGTAGGGAATAGTAGCAGCACACAATGAGCCAAATATGTCATTTATAAAAGATAAAGGAGCATATCCCTGTATTATCAGCCAAAATAAGCTGATCCTGTAAATGTAAAACAGAATACAAATGGCCGTCTCGTATTGATGTTGACAGCATTGTTCTGGGAAAGATAATTCTGCTTTCACAAAGCATAAAGCCATACACAGAACAGTAGGAGCTGCCTTCAGCAAGGAATTTCCTTTCCCTACTGACTTTTTGCACTTCTGTTACTGTTCTGTCACTATTCTCAAGAGAGGAGAGTGATGCCAAATAACTCAGTAGGAAAAAGCCTTGGAAATTAAATTTGTGTTCAGTGTTTGTTTTCGTGTCTTTTCATAAGCGAAAATCTAACGTGGTGCCTTTCCTATACTGTATATTCAGTTTGGTATGTACAGTAGCTCTGAAGAAAAGCACTGAGCAAAAATGGCAATTTGCAAGGGTAATTTAATGACTGGTGGAGTCATGTAATGTAATGAATAGTGGCACTGAAGTCTCCATTTTATTGCCACTGGTTTTCTTACTGCATACTTTCAATGTCCGCTCAATAACAGTGGCTGAGCATGGGGCTTTCCTCTGTCATCACTGCACATCTCTATCAACTGTAGCTCTGGGACTGCACAGCTATGAGAGTCTCTTGCTGTGATGTTTTTTCACTTTTAATTAAATATGATGTATCTGCCTTCCACGCTGGAAGTCTGTCTACTCAGGAGCATTCAAATGTGCTCCTGCAGGACAACAGAAAGAATCTGATTTCCTTTTGTTTGTTCTATGTAACACAGTGCTTATTTTAATTTACTTGACTCTTTCATAGTACAGCATCTCAGAGCGCATTAAAGGTGGGATACAATAAGGGGAAAACGAATGCTGTAGTCAAACTGATTAAGTTCCAATTAATAACTTTATATAAGAGTAAATCATGTAACAAGTATAAAAGAAAAAAATCAAAAATAAAAAATGGAATGAGTACTGTATATAGATAAAAGAACGTGCATTAATGAAAGGTATTAGAAAACATACTTCCAATACATGATTACAGTCTTTAATCATTAATAGATTTTTATTAATAGGTCTTTGAAAGGACAGTGAGAATGATTTTTTTTAAATCTAAACCTATTTCACCAATCTCTATATTGGTCTGAAATAATTAGGAGATGCTGCAAAGTGACTAGACCGTGAGAGTATTTTAAAGAAAATCTTAATGGAAACACCCATCCTACAGTAAGAATGATCCGCTGTTATTATCAGTGCCAGTGTGCTGCATTGCTGGTTGCATCTCAGCATGCACTGTGGGTCGCTAATTGTACTAATTTCTATCAGCTGAGTGGAATGGACTTTCACCTGTGGGACCAGTTTAGCGTTTGTATCTCCAGAGACCAGTGACTGAGAGTAATGTGTATCAGAGTGTGTTTCAAGGTCCAGCTGAGATTTGCTACAATGCTCACAGCCTAATTCCAAAGTAGCTGGGAGTCTGTATTACAGAAAATTCCATCACAGCTTGCACACACGATTAGCTCTCAAATGCAGCAGTGTCAGCTTAGAGAAGTCAAAAGTGCAGAGGCAGTCACTGGACAAGATAGTTTTAGCTTCACCTCCATCTTTGAGGAAGGCATATTCCTAGCCCTAAAGATTTTCATTTAAAAAAGCAGCTTAGAAAAGCCACTTGGAAAATTACAAATGAAGGCAGAGCAGCTGACGCTAGCGAGAAAAATTACTGAGATACTAATGTTTGGTGTTCCAAATCTAAAGCATATCTGCATTAACTGCGCTTGATATTAATTGCTCGAAGGGTACCAGAGCAAGGTCTGACCAGTGCTTGAAGTAAGCTAGTGTATCATATTTTCTTGAAACTCAAAGTAGGTTGCCATTTTAAGCTGTAACCTTCAGAGCTGTATTGCTGCAGTGATATGCACAAATCCACTTCACAGTTAACTGGATATAGATCTATTCAGCTGTAATGAAGAAAATACAGCCCTGGGGAGAGTCGCATGGAATCACATTTAAGAGGGCTTTCCTTAGCTGGAGGGGCTCCTCTGTCCATCTCCACAGGCCCTGTTAGATTAATTTGTTTCACCAGAGCGACTGCAGTGCTTTGTGTTTTTGGCGAAATCTTAAATAAAAAAGGGTAGTAAACCATATGAGAAACGTATCAGGTACATTCAGTTCAGTGTACAAATTAAAGGGACTTGCTGTTTACTGTTGTGTTCCGAACCATTCTTTTTTTAATTATCTTATTTGCTAAAGCACCTGAAGGGCTGTAGGTGTGACTGCAGTCAGGCAAGGTTGATTGTATACGGACGACAGTCTTCTGAGAGCCTCCTGCCGTTAGCTCTAGTACTGAGCCACTTTCAAGCGTGTTGCCATTTGTATTGTTGTCCACAGAGATCTAAATCAAGATCACCGCACTCATCTTTCTTTGAAGGGAGCCCTCCAGAGAGGAGAGACCGAGACAGTTGAAAGAGAAGGCTGCTGAACTATTAAAATTTTCATTGCAGACTCAAATTTTCTTCTCCCCCTGTGAACAGAATTAAGGGTGTAGAATTCCTAATATCTCCTGCCTGAGACTTGTAAACATATCTGAGTCTGCCTTTGATTTTTAGAAGGGCAAATGCCTGGAGGAGTTGAAAAGGCAAAGCAGTTATTTCAAATGGGCACAATGGAGCTTTTAAAACTGAAGGATCAATGTTGATTCTCTGCTCTGCTCTACCTGCTCTTCCTACGCCACTTGCAGAGAATGACCTCTTTTTAAGGATAGCCTGCTGGTTGTCTGGAGCTCTGCTGCAGTGTTGTAATTTTTGGAATGGCCTCACAGTCTAAAAGCACAACTTAATTCAGGGCTGAAGCCGCAGTGCAATGCAGCTGTTTTTTTTAACATTATTTTCTAACAGATTTGAAGCTGATGACAGTCCCAGTAATGCAGTCCCACGAGTATTTAGAGATTTTCAGACCAGGCCTAGGGCTGTAATCTCTTCTACCTCTTTTTTTTCTGCTTCTTCTTTGTCATTACAGAGCTTAACCAACACAAAGGGAAACTGATCTCGGAAAGGGTTAAGCTGCCAGGGCTGCGTCTACTAGCACAAGTTAAAACATTAAGAGGGTGTTGAACAGCCGGGAATGTAAACCAATGTGGCTTGTTCTCTCTTTGTCAGAATCCCGACATTGAAGTGGACGAAAATGGAACACTGGATCTGAGCATGAACAAGCAGCGCGGACGCGATGGCAGCTGTGCCATTTTGACGCCTCTGGAGCCCATGTCTCCACAGCGACAGGCCATGATGAGCAGCAGGTGCTACCAAATGAATGAGGCCGACTGCTGGGATCTACCGGTCGACTACACCAAAATAAAGCAGATCGACGAGGATGATCCCAAAGAGGTACTGGAAATAATACATTGAGGGCTGGCATCCTCAGATAAATTGTGAAATGGATGCCTTCATACCAGTCAAGTGCTCCATTGCCTCCTCCTTTTGTGATTTGGTGTTAGAGGGCTCCGGAAAGTGTTATTTCAAAATGACAGAAAGGCCGCTAGGTCAGTGTTGTATGTTTCAGAAGCCCCAAGACTTGTGCTAACCAATTAGTACACTCATTTGAATGTTCTTATATATTTTTAGTTTTGTTCTGAATTGCTCATTTCTAAAATCTTAACGTTGTCATTTTAACACCCCATTCCAAAACAGTTTTGAAGTTTGACAGTGAAAGCTAAAAAAAAAATATTTTAATGATAACATTAGGGATGTAAAGAAACCTATGGAAGCACTTTGAATACAGTAAAAATGGTTATTATTACATTTATATTGATTTACACATTGTTATTTTTATCGTGTCTCAGGTCTCCATTGCCTTTGATCAGAAACATCAGATGTAGTTTATTTCTTGGCTACAAGCATTGCATGTTAATACTCACAATGTGGAATATGTAAAATAAAACACAAAACAGCCTAGCATTCACTGAATTTTAATATCCATATGCAATGATAGTGTTAGAATGCATAAAATGTCTGATCTCAATAAACATGTTATAACACATTAACAGTGATCACTTTCTAAACCATGATTTTGGAAAGGCAGACAGAGTATTAATTTTGATTTTTTGCTCTTGTTTTTATATTATTGTGCATAAATATAACATAAAACAATGAAACACAGCAGAACCTGCAGATTTGCTTCATTTGGCTGAGAGAGAATCTTTGTTTTTACTAGAGTGTCATCTAGTGGACATTTCATTCAGTGGGAAAGTTGCATGTGATTTGTGCTTCACTTTGAACAAGATACTAAACTGTATCTCCAATCTTTTTTCTTCAAAAATAATTATTTAAGGCCTGTCACAGTTCCTGCATGATACAAGCAAGGACCCTCAAGCAAATCCGAGGGCAGGTCATATGTTACTTGAAAACAGTAGTTGATGCCATTGTTTTAATAGCAGTAGGCATCAGTGCTTTCTGGATTCTTACTGTATATGATTCCCAGTACCACCAAGTCTAAAACTCTTTATTTCACATTTTCTTATCTGACATTTGGTGCACAGATACAGTACATCTTCGGGGTGAGACTATTTGTCCAGGATATGAAAACAGCACACTCCAAAATAAAAATGAAAAATTCCAAATGTTTTTAATTGTTCTCTGTAAGGATTTGAGATGGTCTAAAACTGGTGCTCAGAATTCTTGTAGTTCTTCCAAGAAAAAAAAGCTCTAATTACCCCAAATACTCTGTACCCCTAGTTTTTCAGCCAAAAAGTAGATGTCAAAACTATTGGAAATGCTGATAAATGCAGACTAGAAATAAACAAATATCAAACAAATACCTGCTATATAAAAGAAGTTATTGTGAAAACAAAATCTCTCAAATAGGAATAAACTGTAAGTTTAACAGAATACCAGTTTATCAAAAGCTTTTATATCTTCAGGTGGTTGATGTTTCAGCCTTTGTATTAATCTTGAAAGTAATCCTTCCCACCACACACACAGACTTGATGTGTCTCCGCTTATGCAATTGAATCAAATCCCTTGTCTCAGAAATGGTGCAACTACAAGATTATACCTTACACACTCAGGAACTTAGAAAAAAAACAATAATTTATATGCACAGTTTGACAGTCAATGGAGGGTTTAGCTATTTGCATGAAATGTGTGTGCATACTAACCTATTGTGTTTAAATTGAAAGCCTTCTAAAGCAATGTAAAGATTGACTTGCATGGTTACTGATGCTGATAAGTCAGGCTAAAAAGCATTGAATAATAATATGCTTTTCATTAATGGAAACTCATAGTTATTAGCTTATTGGAGGCAGTTTTCACTTGCACTAGAAATTATTGTCCCTATTCCTGTTATTAATTGTGAAAAACAGCAATACATGCACCTGTACATTGTTCCACACATACAAAGCCAAGTCATCTCACATTTTTGGTTATTCAGTATATAATGAACATTTACCCCTAATCAAGAAAACTCACAGAGGACAATAATACACTGATATATACTTTTTTTATTTTTCAAAAGATTCATGATTTATCCCAAATTATTTAGGATGGATTATTTTCAATATATAAATTTCAAGAATAATGACACTGAAGACAGTTCCTGGTGTTAACTTTTGGAGCACTAGTTATTTACTTGGGAATCGTGAAGCAAAGATGTGAAAACAGACTTGTTAGATATTGTTATACAGTGCATCTGTATGTACCAATCATAGAATGGAGCTGCAACCAAGTACCATATTCAGATAGAATTGACTCACAAGGAAATGGATATTTCTGCATTCATCCAAGACTTCATCCAGAGCTGTATGAGTATCATGTATTATGTACAAGTACTGTCAAATAATGGGGGTGGTGTATTGTAATAAGTAAGGCTTTGGACTCATAAACTATGGGTTTTGGATCCAGGTCTCCAGCTATAGACATTGTACTCCCACTCCCGAGTGAGGCATTTTACCCCAGTTGTTCCATTCCATCCAGTTGTATAAGTTGGGACTATTTATATGCTGGGGCATTGATGTGGGGGTGATCCCTGTAATGTACGGGTATTCAGTCCAATGAGGGAGTCTTGCTCTCAAGTCCTCTTATTGCTCCAGAAACAGGGTTGAGCTGCTGTAGCTCAACGTGGACTCTGCCTATTTTTACTATCTCAGAAGTGAAGCAGTAAATTTACAAGGTTATCCCTGCTAGGTCTTGAGTGCTCATGTTAAGTGTTTTAGAACAATCAATCAATGCTCCACTTGCATTTTTAGCTCTCAAAACCGGCGGAGGGGGTGGGCGAGTTAGCAGCTATCAGGGGTACAATGAAGAAGAAGTGTCGTACTGAGGATCCAAATGAATGGGATGCTAAATGTACTGATTCAAATGCCTTTTAAATCTACCTGCAGCCTGAAGATTTAGATCCTTTCCAAGATATCCTCGAAGACCGGCAGTATCCCGGAGAGGTCACCATCCCTAGCCCAAAGCCAAAATACCCCCAGTGCAAGGAAAGCAAAAAGGACCTGATAACGTAAGCATTTGGGGAGGTGCTGGTTATCTTTCTTACACACGTTTTTTTCTGTTGTTTTGCTTAAGAGGAACAAGCAATTTCTCCTTTGCACTACTAGCATGCTACATATGCAACGTATTGTTCTGGCGACTTTTCATTTTACCTGAAGTTGTTAGCTAATGTTTACTTGCTTTGTCTTACTTTGATGCTTTATTGTAATAAAACATCATTCTCATTTTATCCTATTCATGTTGCAGCTTCTCCTTAGGATGTTTCAAAAAGCCCCTTGCAGACAGTGAAGCTAAACTGGAAACAATGAAACAACGTTTTTAAACATATTTACTCTTTTGGCTGTTTTTTGTTTTCTTTTTTTTGTTTTGTTTTGTTTTTATTTTTTTGGTGACAGATGTCCAACACCAGGGTGTGATGGAAGTGGTCATGTGACTGGTAATTACGCCTCACATAGAAGGTGTGACTTCATTTTTTCATGGTGGATTCTGTCTTTTCAATTTATTGTTTTCAGCTTACCTCAACAATGCTGTCAAATGATAGTGACACTCCTCAATGTTAACCCTTTGAGTACTAGTGGTTTTTTTATTATTGGGGATCATGTAAAAACAACAAGTTGTGAAAGTAAACATGGTAAAGCCAAACTTTATTATGCAATGGATATTTTATGTCCCAATCATAAATTAATAGTTATATATGGGTAACCCTTGTATTAGTAATTTGCATTCCATTAATTATATTAAAAAAAGAACCAGTACTGCATATCTCAAGGACTTTTAAATGTGAGTGCCATTTGAATTGAATGTAATCGAATTATTCAGAGGGTTAACTGTTCTTTTAATTGACCCAATATCCTGCACTTGCACCATGGCTTTCCTGCATTTACAGTCCTTTCTTTGTGTATCTCGTCTTGTTTCATTGGTTGGTATCGCGGCCTTTTGCATTTAATTTTAATTAATGTCCCATATATGTATATTTTCCAGTCTGTCTGGCTGTCCTTTAGCTGACAAAAGTATTCGAAGCATGATGGCTACCAACTCTCAAGAACTCAAGTAAGCAGCAAAAACCAGCCATTTGTCTTTACTTTTTTACTATCCCGAAAAAAGGGGGATGTGGGAAACATATGCACTTGTGAAGGTTTGATATCATCAGTGCTTTATAAAACTTCATACTATGCCTTCCGTTCTCAGAAGAAATGGTATGATTTTGCAAGTATGTATTGAAGAAGGCAATATTTTTGGTGATGGAGTCAGGAGGACTGACAAAACCTACTACATATGTTCATTCTGTTTCAGGTGTACCCATCACTGAGATTAGAACTCATAGAAATTGTATAAATTGTGAATATCAATGTGTGCGCATGTTGTTTGTGAGCAGGACAGAAATACTTCTGTGTGTGAAACCTTCAGAGCACTGCTGTTGAAAACCGTGTTTTTTTTTCTTCCTTCCTATAACAGCTGCTTTCTATTCTATTTAAAGAAAATCTGAGAAAACCTACTTGGATCTTTCTCCTCCTTCACACTTTCAAGGCACTTGAACTTTTCTGGATGGTTTTAATTTAGATTTAGATTTAGCCTAAGTCAATGTCTTCAGAAATATGCACCAGTATAGTGGAAACCTTAAGCATAGAGGGATTTCAAATCTTTATTTTCTTTTAGTTGACAGGCAACTGAAATGAATATCATGTACGATGTCAGTAAAGAACTAAGTTTGATGAATTAACCCTATGCAACCCTGTGTTTTGGAATGTACAGTTGTACTCGGGCATTTGCAAAAAAGGATGAATGATGAATTGTTGCTTTAAGTGTCTCTAAAAATATAAAGGAGAGCCTACAGCTGTTGTACCCAGTTTTAGTCTTTAGTACTTCTCTTTTTATAGACAGATGGCTGTTGAACCTGGAGCCCTTTTTCCCTATTATTTTCAATCAAATTGTACAAAGAATCACAGTATATTTTCTCAACTGAATGAAGAAAATTACACAAAAAGCATTGAAGGACACAAGGCATTCCTATATGTTTGAAACTACCCATCAAACATGGGTCATTTTTGTTGTTATAAAAAAACTGTATTACAGTTTGTTACATATATATACAATGTATCATCCTCCTTTAAACACATTCACAAAAAGATTTGGTCATTTCATAAAAGGCATCTTTAGCCTAGGTCCTAGTCCTATATTGTTACTGTATATCACATCTCTAAATGAAAAATATCTATTTGATGAGATTCTTTTTTATTTATAACAGTAGTTATAATCTGTTTAGAACACTAATAAAAATATTCCTATCTTTCATGGCAAGTCTGGGAAAAGTACTGTAAATACAAAACACAGATAAAGATGAACAGCAGATAAGAAATGGACATTTAAAACATGATGCTGGGTTTTTGAGAGACCTTCGGGGTGCCAGATTTCCTAATGTTTGTATTAATAGCATTCTATGGGAGCATGGGAACAGAAAGACATATCACTCTTCACATTTGTCATATCCTAGTTTGAGGAACGCATAAGAATTCTGCATCAGTGGCCCAGTTAGTGGGTTACATCGGGAAATACAGTATAATGAGACAATAACCTAATATTATAAATAAATAATAAATGGAGGGGTAACAAGCCATTAAAGGCTTTGAACATCAAAGGAAAACTCATCTGGGCCCAATGAAGAGTTTCCAGAACAGGAGTACTGTAATATGACCTAATGAAGGCACTGGCTGCAGTGTTGTATATATACTGCAATAGTTTCAGAGTATTCTTGGAAACCCCAGCAAGGAGGGTATTACAATTATTCATTTTGGAGGAGACAAAGGCATGAACCAGTTTCTCCACATCAGGCACTGACAGAACAGGAAGTAGTCAGGTAATATTCGTAAGGTGGGAGAAGGACATCCTGGTGATGTTCTAGACAGGGGTTCAAAACTTAAACTAGGGTCAAGAATGATTCTGGAAGCTTTCCATTTTATAGAAAAATTGAATGTTTGTGACATTACACCATCAGTAATTGTTAGATGAATAAACTGGTTTGTAAATCTCTTTTTCACCTACAATTTAATTATGGTTAAACATACCCTTTTATAAAAGCATATACTGTAGATGGTAGTAACACATCTTCAATATATGTTTTGTAATTCTTAACTAGTGCTAATGTGCATTCATTATTTTGGAGAACTTAACATTACCAATTACACAAAATGTGCAGGTTTTATGAGATTGTATGTTATTGGCAACTTTGGTCTTTGTTAATTATTAAACTTTGGCTTCACAAAACAAATGACATAACAAAACAAATGACAAAACACAATTCCTCCAGTCAGTAAGGCGATGTTGCTTTGTGGCAAGATATTATTGTGAGAATGTTAAAGTGAGAAAGGAATGGAAGATTTTTTAATTGATTCTTTTATAATATAACATATTTATAACAATATAAAAAATAACCAAAAAAAAACATGGAACTATTTAAGTATAACAGATGTTTTTTTGTTCTCATGGGAGAAATATTAATTGATTAATCATGTTATATAGTGCTTCTATGGTGCTTTTTTAGTTATTTCTGTATGTGCCAGCAGACCCACTGCAGAGGTAGATCGTGGAGTGAAATGGGAAAACTTCTTCACCATCTTCAACAGTGAATTATGGAGAAATTTGTGGCAGGCCATCAAAGGAAATCTTCTATTTTCATTTTATGATGTAATAAAAATCCAATAGTCCAGAGTGGCCATCACTTGTGTGTTGACACCACTACTCCTTCAAACAGTGCCATGGGATCTTAACGACCAGCTAATTAGGACATGAATTTATCCTTTCATCTGCAGATCAGTAAATCTACAGAGTGCCCCTTCACTATAATAGGTCATTGGTCTGGAAAGTTTGATTCAGGGGACTAGTACCACTTACTGGTATATAGCACCAGCCTTGCAGCAATTTTCCTTAGAGGTCTACCTCTCACTACTAACCAATATTTACATCATAAAATAAACGCAGGAACTAAAAGCCAAACAAAATTGTTAATTGTTAATTTCCTAATTCTGCTGTTAAAATGATTGAAAAGAATCAAGCAAGAAATATACATACCCATAACCAGAAACCAGAAACATTTCTTAAACTTGAATTTCATGTCTGTGAAGAGGTGTACTGTAGTTAAAGTAATATAACCTGTTGTTTTGAGTTTATAAAGTTCAATCTTATCCCTCCATGCACTAACAGAGCTTGTTCATGTTTTCAACCTCAGATGCCCAACACCTGGATGTGACGGCTCAGGGCACATCACTGGAAACTACGCTTCACACAGAAGGTAAATAATATGTTCAATCACTAAAATGCCATCTCAGTAGTCCAATGAAGAAACATACTGTAGCTGTGAAAGCCCTCAGTAAGCTATGAATGTTTCAATGTAAAGCATATTGTGATGATCTGTCTTTTTCATTACAGCTATTATCTCTATAATATAATAGGTTAAACAGGGGTCAGTATAAACATTCCAAGAAAGATTACAAAATTGTTTCATAAATACATTTAATAGAAATAATGTATTATTGATTAAATGCTTGAAATCATTAATGGTGTCCTTTTACACTCACCTAAAGTGTAGTTGTTATTTGGGTTTATCGTTATAATCTTTGTACAAGAGCTGGAGTCATGATATTTTCCCAGTACAGGTCTCACAGTGGAGCTGTGATGTACTGTAGCTCTCACTGACCACACTGAAAGCTCAAAGGTGCCCAGCAAGTCACAGAGCTCACTGTGTATGTGTGAAACCAAAGGATATTGTGGTGAACTTAAGTCCACCCACCTCTAGAGACACTCATACAATTATTCAATGCTTCTCAAGCAGTCCTGGTCCCAGACCTTCTTCAGGTGTGATGCTCCACAGCCGAAACATTGTGTTTCCTTTCTTCTATTTTCAGCATGGAATAAACCTTTTACTTGTTCCTTTGCAGCCTAGGCATGCTGACACAGCTGCCTGCTTGAGCTACTGTAGATAATGATGTACTGTAGTCAAGCTGAAACTGACATGCCCAGATTGCAGAGCTCAACCTGTGGTCCTGGCAGAGCTCTTTACTTTACTGTTTACTGGCCAAACCACCCAGCAGCCCCTTTTCTTATTTTGAGTGGCACTCCTGGAATCTTTGTGCAAATGTGTGCATACGTCTTGAGTGTCTCCTATTGTGTGTTTCACACTTACGTTCACAAATGTTTCTGAGTTTTAAAATTCAGGGCAGAGCCAACAGTCCTCTGAGTGTCATTAGCAAAAAAAGAGGGAACTGATGCCCATCCACATGCCGTCTTGCTAATGATTTAATTAATTTGTTCCATGTTCATTCTTTAAGCTTATCAGGTTGCCCCAGAGCAAAGAAGAGTGGTATAAAAATAGCACATAGCAAAGAGGACAAAGAGGACCAGGAGCCGATAAGGTATCTGACCTCATGTATGAATACACAAATGGTTGATCACCATTGTTTGAGATGTGTTTCATAGATATTCTTCCTTTCTTGGTGTTGTGTGTACTATAAAAGAACAAAACTAATAAGAATTATTTTGGAATAGGTAGTACCTTTTGTACCAGACCTCTAGTTTTGTCTAGTTAGATTTTTCTAGAAATTCACATATTTAACTGTTATTACAGTATGCAAATTTGAAGAACAAAAGACAGGTTACAAACAAAACAGAGGGCATCGTACCCATCTAGTCCATTTGGTAATTAATAGCTCACCTGAGCCAGATGTTTCTTGAAATATGCTAGGGTATGGGCTTTGACAACCTTAGGTAGATTGTTCCAGTTTCCCACAACCCTTTCTGTTTTAAGTCTCTAATATGAAAAAAAGATTTAAGAATACATTTGTACAGTAAATTAACACAACCAAAAAAAAGTCAGGTCACAGCAAGCTATAGTGATTATGTTTTTAAAACTCCATTCCAAGTTTGAACCAACAAAAACTAGTTTTTCTCCTTACTGAATGCAGCAGTCATCACTACTGCTGTCTACTATTGTGGTGTTAAATTAAAAAAAACAGTCTGATCACACACATAGTACTCCAAAAGTTTTTTCTCTGTCAGAACATAAAACATTCACAGTTGACCACTAAACCTAAGCAAACATGACAGAATGTTAAAATCGAAGAAATTCTCTGAGCATTCCACTTACTGTATGTAGGGAAATCCAGGCTTTGGGAAGTAACATAACTAAAATAATACTGGGCTTTTTCTAAATAAAAGAACATTTCCTTTCTTAGTTTTGTCTACAGGTCCATTTGTCCTGAAAACTGTATCAGTACAAAGTTGATTTTAAAATTTCAATTAAAAAACATAACTTTGAAACAGGCATATCTATCGACACCTATGATTTTTTGCTCCAAAGATGTATCAAGTTATATTCATGATATCAGAGGGGAGGAAAATAATAACTAGTCTATTACTTAGAATTACAACAAAGAATAAATACATATATTTTTTAGCGTGATAGGCAGCAAGCTGGTACAGTGGCTTGCCTTGCAGCACCGGGGTCCTGGGTTCAGATCCAAACCTGGGCTGCTGTCTGTGTGGAATACAGACATTTGTATGGGTTCACATTGGATGTCCTCTAATCTCCTCCCACAGCCCAAGAATGTAATAGTAGGTAAATTGGCTTCTGGGAAATTGGCTCTGGTGTAAGTGTATGTGTCAGTGTCTGTGTGTGCCCTGCCCTGCCATGGACTGGCATCCTGTCCAGGGTGTAGTCTGCCTTGCACCCATTGCTTGCTGAAATAACCACTGGCTTCCCCTTGGCCCTGAATTGGATGAAACTGTTAGAATGGATGATGGATATTTTGGAGTGTATTAAATAGCCTTCTACATTAAAAAAAAGATGAGTGAAACACGTTTGCAAACCTAAAGAAATCTGGGCTTTACCTAATTCCCCCACACATTCTTTTCATAGTAAAGTATCATTATTATGATATCAGTATTTTCATAGTTAAGTATCATTATTATGATATGAGCATTTTCATAGTAAAGTATCATTATTACTATTAGTATCATTATTATAAGCCCTTTACAACATCCCTTTTGACCTTATGAGCCGATCATGTTCTGAATGGTCCACAGGTGTCCAGTTCCTGGATGTGATGGGCAGGGTCATGTGACTGGCAAGTACGCGTCTCATCGCAGTGCTTCAGGCTGCCCCTTAGCTGCCAAGCGACAAAAGGACGGCTACATGAATGGGTCCCAGTTCACGTGGAAGTCAGGAAAGACAGATGGCATGTCCTGCCCAACACCAGGCTGTGATGGGTCGGGCCATGTCAGTGGGAGCTTCCTAACGCATCGAAGGTGAGTGAAATCTTTTAGATATTAAAAACTACTACTGAACTGGCTGAATAAAAGCTATTTTCATGTAATTTAAAAATAAATGAATTTTGCAATGCACCACAAATGTTGTATCAAATACACATTTGCTACAGATGGGTATTGTGATGCTTAAGAGAAGCTTAGATCTTCCTCAACTGAGATCAACAGTATGTGCATGTGCCTGTTTCTGTGCGGACATGTATACAAATTGTAACACTGCTGAACCATCTTCATATTTATTTCATGCACCAGTCTGTCAGGATGTCCCAGAGCTACATCAGCGATGAAGAAAGCCAGGCTGTCTGGAGTCGAAATGTTAACAATAAAGCAAAGAGCTAGCAATGGTAATCATTCCGTTTTCTAGCTAAACCTGTTACATCTTAATGAAAAAAAAAAATTCTGCATTTTTAATGGATTGCCTTGTGGGGTTTCTACAGCAGCACAAAGGTGATGATTGCTTTGCAATCAGTGACTTAAAAGCAACAACACTGAATAATAATTAGGATTTGTGCTGTTCCATCGAACCTGAAGTGCTACTTTTATTCTATACACCACTGTATTCTCAGCATTATGTTTAGGTAGACATGGGGGGCTGATTAGGTTTCTCTGCTAAATATAAATTTTATTTTATTTTTCTGAACACATTATCTTTTCATCATACAAATAATGGCATACTCTAGTCAGCATGAATGTTTATTCTATTTTTAAAAATCAGTATAAAATTTGATACCAATTCTGGTGTATAGGGAAATTTTAATTTTAGTTTTCAATGACTAAAATTAAAGTCAACTAATCAATAACTTAACACTTAACAGCACTTTAACAGCATTTCCCCATTGCTCTGTTGCTGTTGCTTTAAAGACACCTACGTATTAGCCTGCAAGCAGATCAGCCCTCCAGTACCATTGGAATTGGCATTGCAAAGACTTGTTTCATAAGTTTCAACAGACTATAAAAATGCTCTATCTTTACAATTCACAATCCATATGTCTTTTAAATTTTAAACCATTTTATGTTTTATCCTTTCTTTATTAGTTTAGACTATTATGTTTCACAGATTTTTTTAATATCATGTGTGGATCTTCACATCACAGACTCTAAGGCTACAACCAGGATCCCATAATAAGGAGCAAAGCACAGTACTGAAAGACAGTGGACCGCTGGCTAAGAGCAGGGAGTCTTTCTCAGCAGAAATACCCATACGGCACAGTTCCATGAATGCTCTAAATGAAAAAAAAAAAACAATCTGTGTAATAAACACTGGTATTATATGCACCAACATTGTTAAATAAAAAACGCTTCAGATACTATTGATACTAATACCACTGATATGCATTTGTTTAATAACTGTGCCTGATAACTTAATTCCTTTTTAAGAAACAAGAATAAGACAAAGTGAACAACAAATATATTAAAAATGTAAAACGAATATGCAATGTGACCCATGAAATGTTTTCTGGTTAGTCAATTCACATGATTTCCATTGAGTTTTAACAGTGTTTTTCTGGTTTTAAATGGTGCTCAGGCATACTTTGTGCTACTGTAGATATACTGTAGACACTTTATGTACAGTACTGTACATTGGAGGATATGACATTGCAATGAAAATGGGTGTAAGTCTGCTTTCAGTGGCTGAGAGGGTTTTCCTATTACCAGAGAGTTCATAATGAAAGCCTTGGTGGTGTGCCATAATATTCTGGTCATTGTGACACTTTAATTCTAGGGAAAAGATTCAGTTTTTGTTAGGCTATCCAAATCTATACAACTTGATTTGTGTATGAAATGGAAAGTAATCTGGTCCAGATATCAGACTATTATCAGATATTCTCCTCGCCAAACACAAGTTAAAAAAAAATAAAAAATAAAGCTTTGATAAATATTTAATGTAAATAACTTAAACCTGAAAAATTAATAGTGCAATTTGGCCTTTTTTCTTGTTTTCCTTTTAAAAATTTGATATACTCATGCATGGGAAATTTTAAGAGATGTTTGCTTTCTAGTAGTAACAGGCTGTTGTTATTTTAAACATTTCTTCAAGAGTGCATTTCTGTTTTTAGGGATAGAAAATGATGAAGAAATCAAACAGCTGGATGAAGAAATCAAAGATCTAAATGAGTCAAATTCGCAAGTTGAAGCAGATATGATTAAACTCAGAACCCAGGTAACGCATTCATATCCAATTTGATTATTTTCATAATAAATAAATCATCTGGTGTAATAGGAAATTAATTAACATGTAGACAAGGGGGCTTACATTTGTAACTTATAGCTTATAATATTTACATTTTAGGCTTTATTTTTTTTTCTTATTCCAGAATACCATAATGAATAATCAAGAAATTTTACATGTAATATTTATATATATATACTATATCATGAATCACAAACTTAATGTTATATTTGCATAACTTTGACTTTCCTGTAAAACTAAGAGGAAAAAACATTGTGATTATTGCGTATTTATGATTCAAACTTGACTGCTTTTTCCATTGTCATGCTGTGTGTTGTCTAGAATTTGCTACACAAATAAGAGCAGATTTTTCCTTGCATATACTGTATATGAAGGCTTTTATTGCACACTTTTTTGCAATAAACAGTTTGGAACACACAGTACAGTATCTGTAAGTGACATAAATATAAATATATCTACATTACATGGAACAGCATTTGATACAGTATTTTGATATAGATAATGAGAGCAAGGTAGATAATATTTCAGAAAAAAACAAAATATCCCAGCATCCTCTACTCCTCAGAAAGTTGGTCCAATAAACTGGGGCAGCCCTAATTATAATACAGAATCCCCTTGAGGCCTAGCTAAAGAAAGAACGTGCAAATGCTCGCAGTAAAACTAGAACACCCTGTCCCTCCAAGCATCATGCAGCTCAAAGATGTTCAAAATAGGAACAGATTTCTAAGCTAGTTTGAAAGGGCTCTTCTACAAAAGTCTGCATAAAAATGCACTGAATATCTTAAAGTAAAAACTGAAGAGAAGGCACAGAAACAAGAACTGAAACATAACAAAATATTCAAAAGCACGCAACAGTCTCCACAAGCTTCTTTGTCGTGGACAAGAAGTAATCAAACACACGGTTCATGTTTTAAGATAAAAATGCACATTCTGGACAAATCAGAGGATCAAAACATCAAAGTGTGGGACGTGTAATAGAAAAGCAAAGTTCAAATGAGTTGGAATTATCACTTAAATATACATGTACAGTATGTAAAGAATTTGTATTTTTTTATTTTAAAGAAGTTAAAATAGACTTAGCTAAACATAAACACTGGAAATATTTGTTGGTATTTAAAAAAATGAATTACTTTGTATTCAAAAGCTAGTTACTAAATTAACCATTTATAAAGCTCCATAACTCATGACTGAAATTTCATTTTGATTTCTTATTTTCCATGTTCTAATGTCAATAACTTGAGTAACTCCATTTGTTGCTAATAATATAATTTATTTCTTACTCTTTGCAGCTTTACACACTATCAGATTCTCCTCACAATGACTGTGAACATAGTGATTGTGATCCCCTGCCCATGTTTTTTCAGACTCATTGAAAACCAGTCAATCTTATCTGTTTCTCTTCAAGTTTAAAAGCAATTTTAAAAACCAAGTAGGAGATTAAGTTTTGAAGTTTCAAGAATAACTAAAATGCAGTACATCATACACACCACATGTTGATTCTCTTCACATAAATACATGACAATGTTAGAAAGAGTAATTTTTAGAAATCCAATTAGATGATATTAGTCAAGAATTACCAATAAATGTGTTAATTGCACTGTTTTGTATACTGTACATACAAGAGCTGGTTTTATGTTTTTTTAAACTTTTGCTCTTAAATTTAAGCTTTATATTAACTGATCTCATTTTTTTCATTGAAAGCTTCTTTTCATGACATATAGTACAAATTGCAATGAACACAAAAACTTAAATCTTATCTTATCTTATATCTTATCTATTATTAAACTTATCTTTAATGATAAAAACTATTTTATTATGTAGAATGTTTGACACACAGCCATTTCATCATTTACTGTTGTCTATGGCTCCCAGTATAATTTATATATATATATGTGTATGTAAAGGTAGATAAATATGAAATTGCGGGCATTTATAGAATTAAGTACAGTATATGTGTTGCTGAAAAAGTGTGTTTACTGTATGTGGTTCCTTTTCTGAAATTAATGGATACACATGGTGTGTGACCTTTACTTGCAGGACCAATACTGTTTGGTACATTCTGGTGAAAGAGATAATATACTTATGTTTACACTCCTTTAGATTACGACAATGGAGACTAATCTGAAGTCAATAGAGGAAGAAAACAAGGTGATTGAACAGCAAAATGAATCTCTCCTGCATGAGCTGGCCAACCTGAGCCAGTCACTGATTAACAGTTTAGCTAATATCCAGCTCCCACATATGGTAAGGGCCACAAAGAATGGAAACTGGGCAAGTTATGGAACGTAACAGAACATACAACATGGCTTTTTGTTATATGAGGCATAGACCCTGTGCTGTTGCATGCAAAACTACAATTATAATTGTGACGTTTTCTCTCTTAAAAACTAAATTATGTGTCATTGAGAGCAGTGTAACCCCACCAAACTCTGTAATTGAATACTTCAGGGGAGATGTAAACAGTAAATGAGATGTATTTTAAGTTTATATGTAAAGTATGTGAGTACAGAGATTTGACATACTGTAAGTAAAACGATGACCAGGTTTCAAAGCAAATTTGGTTATCCTGTTTGCTCTGCTGCTCTTTGCCTTATACAATGGTCAAGGGGTTACCAATCAGTGAAGTATGTCCCCCTAGGGGAGCATATAAGTATCCAGAGGGTGCTAAAGAGCTTTGTATATACAGCTAATTCAAACTATGAATTTTTAGACAATATAAGACAATGTTTTCCACAGCATTTTATAAATAGAAATGTAAGATTCACCTTCAATTTGGGCTTCTCCTGATATTCGGTGTTTCATTCACTGACTCATATTTTGCTGCTAACCACCACACTCTTCAAAACATAAGTTTAGTTACCAAAAGCTCATACACAAGGTCTGATCTATTCACAGTAAACTAATAATAATAAATCATTAATTAAATGCAGTTCAAGTAGGGAGCTGTGTCAGCATGTGTAGGCTGCAAAGGAACAGGTAGCGAGTTTATTCCATGCTGAAAAGTAAAGAAAGGAAACACTATGTTTCGGCTTCTTTTCTTTTCAGCATGGAATAAACCCGCTACCTGTTCCATTAATTAAATGTTTCAACTACCAGACACTTCACACACTATCCATTAGTTACAGTAAGTGTTGATTTAAATACTTTCCTAAAACTGGCGAAAAAGCTCTGCTCTTTCTTTTCCACCTGTCTGTGTATGGCTGAATTTTCTGCACTTTTGATCAAAAATAAGCATTGTAACAGACTTGATGTTGAAAGTGACTTACGTTGTGCTCCACAGAGCTGAGAATTTCAAAACTTGTGGCAAATATGCAGCGTCAGAGCTCACATTGATGATGTTTGAGGCAAACACTTTAAACTGAACTGAATAAACTGAAGTTCAGATGTGAATTTGGATCGGATTACCTTCGATCTGCTTGAAAAAAAGGTCTGTGCCAATGGCCAAAAACTGTTATGGATTGCTATGGGAGGTGAAGCCCAAGAGCTCACAGCCAATGCAACACAGAAGGAAAGAGTTAGAGCATCACATTACGGCCCAACCAGTCACTGGACAAACAATAAGCATGTGAGCTTTCCACTAAACCTACATTTCATACATTACAGAATTTTTGCCATTAATGGGCTATAGTCTCAGAAATCAGAAATACATACTTCTAGACATCATTTTAAATCCACTGTCGTTATTAATACTGTATAAAGCAAAGAGCTTTCTCTTAGATTTTTCCATTGTTATATATTGTTCCAGAATAAACTTGGGCTTTATTTACTTATGTCAAGTCTCTGTGTATATTACGCTGTAACACTTAAATATTAAACATTCGTTATTTTATTACTGGTCACAAACATTGGGTATTTAACTCTAGAGGGAAAAAAAAGCTTTTAATGGATTTTCATAGCACATGCAATGTTATGTTATGTTTTGTAATTGCAAGTTTTATATGTACCTATTTTAAAGGCATGAAAAAACACAGCTTTTTTCCATAAGCATCCATTTTAATTTTTTTCTTTATATCCCTTGAAAAAACAAAGAAAAGCAAAGCTTTAGAAACATGAGAGGTAAACAAAAGCTGCAGAAGTATACTGTGTGAGTTTAGAGTATACAGTACACTGCCTGTTGCCAAAAAGGAACTGCTTAATAAATGACGGATGTGGTAGTTTTGCTAATTTATTACTCAGACCCCAGACACCGGACTCATTTACCCCGTCTTTTAAACTATTTGAAGGTCTTTAATAAGAAAACATTCTTCAAGCTTAATTGTGCTTGAAAAAACATTAAGTACTCTGAAAGCATTTATCAGGCAAATTAAAATTCTACCACCAGAACTCACAGGACTATGTTCCTATGAACAGGGGCAGTGGGACCTTTTATTGGGAATTTATGGTTGTAAGTGTTGTAAAGTTGTGTAAATTAAAACCTCCACTTGCTAAGGAAGAGATGTTTAGATTTCATGGGCCTACATGGGGAAAATGAGCAACATTTCAGCAACTTGTTCCCCATTGAATGCTCAGTTTAAAATAAAACAGATTAAAATAAATCAGAAGTAATCTGAAAAAAAAAGTAAAAGCCCCTTTCTGCAGTTCCTGTATTAGCTCTAATTGTTTGTGAAATTGTGGTTTTGTTTCGCATAAAATGAAGGGATCACCCTTACAAACACTGGCTCCCTGTCTAAAGCACCTAAAATCAGGATTTTATAGGAATTAAAATAGTAAATAATTGATTTCTAGTCATTCTATTTTTAGATTAATTATAGTTAAATATAGAGAAAAAATCATAAAAAACAATCTCAGGATAATGTGTCAGCTGTCCTGTGAGCTGGACTAAATTACAGGACCATTACAATAGCATTGAGATGGGTTTTCTCCATTTGCTTCTTTCTGTGTTTATTTGTTTCTGTATTTATTTATTAGTTTGTTTAATTTTGTTGTTTTGATACTCTGCATTCAACACTGCCCCCTAGTGTTAAACGTTTGTAAATATACCCCAGAGCTGTGAAAAAAGCACCTTTTGTACAGCAGGCTAATAGAACTTTGTTTACACCTTTCCCCATAGAAACCGCCGCAACACAAAGAGGCTCCCATTAGAAATAACAGCTGTTTACAGTTGCATCAGAGAGTAAGATAATAATTTTCATAGTCTGATTATCCTTTTTTAACGCCTTCATTTTTGTTCCTTTAAACCTCTTTCTTCTCTTTGTTTGCACACTTCAGATATATTTTAGATTGTCTATAAATGTTCCCTCATATTCAAATTCTATTATGTAGCAACAATTGCCTTTTTTTTTACTTCTGTAATGTTAATCCATAAATAACAGTCTTTTTGGCCTTATACTGTTAGACAACATGCCGATCAAGGCAGAAAAAGTCTTACATTATCATGTAAATTAAAGTAACCTAAAGATACACGGAAGGTGCTGTCAGAAAATAGTTAAGGTTGATCAAAATGAAGATTTTTAGTTACATTTTATTACATTTATAGTTTGAGCTAGGAGCACTATATAAAAGTACTATGAGTAAAGTCAGATCAGTACAAAGTCAGGTCTATGTAAAATTCTATTTAAAAATTGACATCAAATGTTTTTTTTTCTCTAGTTAATTTTAAAAACTGGCTTTTGAAATAACTTTAGTGACATTCTCTTCAATTCAGCCAGTGTTAACAACTTTTTGTCTTCCATTATTTCTGTTAACTCTGTGCGACTTTTAAAGTCACACAATACCGAATTATAGAATAGGGGCATTAGTTGATTTTGTAGGCTTCTTTTTTCCTTCCGAAGGTTTCTTTTTCCCAATCATCACACCTCAACCTCACCTGATATGATGCCCATTTTCCCCAAACAAATCTTCTCTATATTGCATTATTGCCATCTGTTTGAATGGAAAAAGCTTGTTTTACAAAGACAGTGCATTCACCTCAAAACATTTTTGATTTTTATTATGCGGTCTTGTTATAGGATAGTTACAAATCCTACCAAAACATTTGCATTAAAATGTTTTGGTTTGACAGATTCAAATTGTGTTTAGAATACTTAAGATCTGTTACCTTTTCTATTCTCTATGTTTCAGTTTTTTTTCCAAAAAAGCTGCATATTACAGTTAACTGAGGGAGATAAAGATGTAAATAAAAAAAGAATAGCACCAATAAATATAAAAAAACATAATAAATAATAATATCTGATACTAATGTAGACCTCTTAGTTCACACAAACATTTTTCCTGTTTAAAGAAAATTATATTGTATATAAACTGTATATTAAAAAGAAAAAAATAAAGATAATGAGACCTACAGTACAACAGTGAAAGGGCCATTAAAAAATTGGAAATATGTGATTACTGGGAAAGAGCAACCTTTGCCCAATATTGTGGTTATCCCAAAACTAGAAAGGGCCCTGCAGTTTTTTAATTCATTGTTAGCATGTCCCAGTGTGTGTTTATGCTATAGTATGTTCCACCATTCCCTTCTTAACACTGTGGATTTCATTGCATGACATCGTCATTAAATCTTCTTCAGAATAATTAGTCCCCTACAGTAAATTCCATTTGAGAAAGAAATATACTGTATTTCTAACTTCTGCTATTGATTATCATGATCCACTTTATCTACATTAAACTACATAAATAATAGAAAAAAATAGAGTACAAGAGAAAATTCACTTAGGAGTAATATTTAATAAAGCACTTTGTCTATTTTCTATTTTAAAATTGCTTTTAAGATGTTTTTTTTTCTTTCTTGGTAAAATAACTAATACGAAAGCTTTAGCTTAAAACATATATCAAAAGTCATTTTTTTTCCCCATTCCACCCTTGCTATGCTCAGAATTGATCTGTTTACCTTTACTAATACTGAGGTGTTTATATGTTTCACAGGACCCAATAAATGAGCAAAACTTTGATGCGTACGTCACTACATTGACAGATATGTATACAAATCAAGATCAATATCAGAGTCCTGAGAACAAGACCCTCCTGGAAAACATAAAGCAAGCGGTTCAAGGAATCCAAGTGTAGACACCCAGCTGAAGAGGGACTTACTCAACAAAGACGAGAAAAAAAAGAAAAAAGGGATGCCTCGTGTTTTGCTGCTGTAATTTATCAGACAGTGTTAAATATTTATTTCTGTTACAAAAAAGTGTTATGCTTACAAAACTTCATAATAATTTTTTGTCTTGCTTTAAAAATAGTTAACGGCAGAATAGTTTTTGAAAACATTCACATTTTGTACGTTTTCATATGAGCTGACATAGTGTGATATGCCATGTAATGTTTATAGCTGCTAATGTATGCACATTTTTGAGTGTATATTTCTGAACAGTAAGCTGAACAAAATTAGGACATACGTTCTTTTTAATGCTTTAGTGACAAAGCATTTTAGAATCAAGAGCTGAACTGGACAGTATAAAAATGATCAGAACGAGAAAAATGTAAAGAGCAACCACTTTTTAATTATCTTTTTCCTCATTGGAGGATTTTATGGAATTTTAAATGATGTTTTGTCTGCAGATTGTTTAATAGCAAGACTTGGTTGTAAATTGCTTTATTTTCTAATGATGCTTGAAAATCTTTGTGTTTTGTTTAAAATGGTTGGTGGTGGTAGGTGGGGGCATTTAAAATGAGGTTAGAAATGAGTACGAAAAGACACTGACTAGAGATGTATGAATGTTACAGTTTTATTGTAAACATCATGACACGGAAACTTGATGGTGGAATTCCCAATATCTTGAAAGCACTATTTTATGACTTAAAAAAAACAACTTAACATTCTGTGTTGTTAGCTACCCATTGTCATTTAATCAGACAGAAGGTGGTGTTCAATTGCAATAGGAAATCTAGGAAACATCTCTTTTAGCATTAGTAATGTCAAAACTTTAGTAGCTAGAGTCAGATAATGTTTCAGCAATATATGATGAAGAGTAAATCACGTATTTGATAGATATGGGATGCAATCTACATAAACAGTTTGGGTATATGCAATTTCTTATTTATAAACATAGTGGAAAAATGAATCTTTTTACTATATGTAAAATATTAATTTTTATATAAATCTTTTAATACAAAAACATTTAAAATGAAACATGGACATTCAGTTTAAAAATTAAAGATGGTATATGAGTTTACTTTATTTATGTACAATTTTGCACAGGAACACCTTCGTTTCCATGTTTTGATGTTTTTACATAAACTAAGGCGGTACTTGAGAGCCTAAAATGAGGATATGGGTTTTGTAAAGAAAAAATATATATAGTTTATCAGAGCGGGACTTACAGGGTCATTGTCCCCACAAATGTGCCAGTAGACTATTTGCACTTGTCCTATAGATATATCCTAACATACGGAGGTGTGCAATTTCCACATGTCAATAGCCATGTGACATAGAATTGGAACAAATAATTGCTAATAGCCGCTGTAGCTAATTACACAATATCACTGATGGAAATTACAGGGAATTATTTAGGAAAATAACGTAACAATAATAACAATGGGTAGGATGATGACGGAGATAATGATGATGACGATGACGAAGATGAAGAAAAAATATTAAAAAAAACAATCTGTTATTGGATTTTGGTAATACGAGAAAAGAAAATCCCAGCAGCACTTTATATTTAATCACTGTACAAAAATTAAAAAAAAAATGAAAAAAATAAGAATCTCCAGTTTTCCCAACAGTCTCTACAGCTGGGAAACAATTCTGTAATTACTCTGGGGTACTGCAGTATCATCTCTGTGTGGCCCCCACTTTCTGTTGTGCTGTTAGTTGTAGCTACCATGTTCAGAATTGCCTTTTTGAGAGCTAACGCAAGGTGCTTGTCGTTCACCTTATCTCATATATTGTACTTTCCGTCCTCTTTTAGGGCTCCATTCTACATGACTGCATATGCCTTTTTCCACTGCATCGTGTCTGCAGCTTTTTGCCAATATAGTAATGCTTTCAGTAGAGTAATAGCTAGTATCAGTTTTTGAATTAATTATTGTTATCAGTACAATGGAAAGGGATTTTAAGCACAAATCTGCTGCTCATCTACTGTTGGTACATAATATCAAATCAAAAGATATCTGTGACTATTTACATAGGGAACACAAAGGTGTCACATGTTAGAATGCTGAATTTTCATATGAATTATTGTGAATTCATCAGAGTTTATTTATTCTAACTTATTCATTTCTAAGTTAATTTAAGTAATCATTTATTAAGACAGGATTTTGTATAAACTATTGTGCTCTCTGTGGAACTGAAGTTTAATTTATTTTTGTACTACACGGCATGGATTTGTTGACATTTTAATTTTGCTATAAATGTGTGAAATCACAAGTTGCTGTGATAATTCATTTTTAAATTGTGAACTTTGTACAATTTTTGTCATGCTGGATGTTGACACATCTTACTCTGAATAAAGAAAAATTGTGTTGCCACAATTGTGTAGCACAGTTGCTCTCTGATTTAGTGCACTAATCTTCCTGCAACACATTGACCACAAGTGACGACAGACAGAAGTGAGGAACAGCACAACTCTGTCATTTTCTTCCACCAATCTGGCTAGTCAAGGCGCATATTACCATTCTGCACACAAGATTGTGACTTTGTCCTACGAGACTGAGGAGTTCAATGTTAAACCTTCAGAACAACATAAGGCTCCCTTAAAGTCCGAGTATAAAATGGGAACTTTTGGACTCTTAAAAGAAAAAAAAACACACCTGTCAGCTTCTAAATGTTTTAGTCCCATAAGCCAATTCATTAAAATACTTTACTCAAAAGTGACAAAATAACGTGTTGCACAGAATGATCAAAGAAAGAAAGAACTTGTGCTTTTCGTTTTTTGTGTCATTCAAACATCAGCCTATAGAACACTCAGCATGACTCTCACTCCTATACGTGGTTTTATCTTTCTTTTAAAGAGGGAATTCAAGATCCCAGTAAATGGCTTCCACAGTCCAAGCCCACTTGCCTTGTATTTGGGAGCCACGCTCCTAAGAGAATGAAGGCCTCTAAAGCCCAATTCTAAAGCGCCTAACGCCATGGGACTGAAGTGGGAGGAAAGGTAAGTTTCACTTTTTCCATGTGCTTGGGATCTGAAATGAAGCAGTTGGAATGACTGGACATTCAGTGCCCAGCTGTAGACATTTTGTATGACATCCCGTGCTTAATAAGATCAGTTTTTCTCATAATAATATCTATATGGTATAAATATAGATTGATACCATCTCTGCACGGGACTGGATTCCTATCCAGGGACTATCCTACTTTACATCAATTTCCTGACAGGTTAGGCTCCAGCTCACAGCAACCCTTAATCTTAATCTTCATCTTAATCTTTTAAAATCCTCGATTAAGCAGTTATTGAAAATGGGTGGATGGAAAGGGCAGTTAAATGAAGTGACAGTCACAAATACCCTGGTAAGACCTGTCTTTTAATCTGGGTAACATAATCATTAAAAATATTTAGTCAGGTGAGAAGTGAAATACAATTCCTTGAAATATATATATTTTTATTAATGATCATTTTGTCTTTTTTCACTTCATAAAATATAGTCTTGCAAGCATATCCCCATTATTGATGTTTTCAATGCCAGAAAATAAGAAACAATGACATTATTGGGTTTTACCTTGTTGTGAAAGAAAGAAACAAGCTACCCAGCCATTTTGTTGAAGCAGAAATCCATTCTTATGTTTGTCTTTGTTCTAAACCATTAGTGCTAAACCAGGGGGTTCCATTTTTGTCATTGCTATAGTTTACCCTAAGTCACCTAATCAATTAAAAATGAGGGACATTTATTTAAGCAATTGAGCAATTAAGCAAGTAATTTTTCCATGAAGGTAACTGTTTTTTGAGAACTGAATGATATTTTGTTTTTTTTTTGTTTTACAAAAACCTACAGGACAGGCACTCTCCAAGGCTAGGGTTTGGAGGCCCCTGATTTAAACTGAGGGATGGAAGGATGAATGAATGAATTAATTAATGAAAGAAAGAAAGGACAATTGTCCTGATGCTCAATTTCATAAAAGAGAATATAGTAACTCGTGCTTTCACATCCATCCCTGCTCCATTGTTGGAATCTCTTAATCAAAATAAACCATGTCAATATAAACAAATGCACAGCTCATGTAAAGCAATATCAGTACATCAGTGATGAGACATCAATAAAAAGGAAATTTGAAATGTTCGCAACATTTTGTGATGCCTTAAGGTACATTATTATAAATACAAATCTAAAAATTGTGCTGTGTTGCAGATAATTTCATATTAAGTTGCTTAAATGTTAAATATCAATAATTAAAGGAACAGGTAAAGGTTTATTCCATATTGAAAAGAAAAAAGAAACACAACATTTTGGCTGTGGAGCCTTCTTCAGGTCTGAACAGGTTAATAGGCCTTTACCTGTTCCTTTGCAGCCTACGCATGCTGATGCAGCTACAGTACCTACTTGAACTTCATTAATAATTAAATTCTCATCTGAGCTTCTTATAATGGAATGAATGCAGAATAATTATCATACCAACCTTAATTTAACCTCATCATTACTTCACCAGTGCTGTTTTATTACCACTGAATATCATCTCAATTGACAATGATCTTTTACAGTACAGTATATTACAATCTTAAAATATTTCCCTGTTTGTACACGTGTACATGTACACAGTATGCTGTGATTTGTTTTAAAGATTAAAAATACACTCTTTCTGACATTAAAAAACATGTTACAGTATATATAACAAAACAGTGTGACTACATTTGTGTTGTTTATTTTGTTCTGTATCAGTTTTCTTCAAAGGAACCTTCAAACATTTAAACCACCAGAGGGCAGTAAAAGATACAAAAACATAGCAATAGCAATGTCATCTGGAACAATTCCTGAAACCAAAATAGCTCAATAAATCATTCTGAATTAGATTAGCACTAACTAATCAGACATCATTTAGATTCTTGGCCCTTGAATTTAAAGCCAACAATGAGTGGCCGTAAAGTTAAGTGCCTCTTGGAGCCTCAACTAAAGTCAATCAACAATGTTGAAAACTAAAAGTATACAAACTAAAAGAGGATGCTTAAGAATTATATAAAAGTATAACCCTATACAGTAGATAGATGTGTTCTGAATTCATTATCAATTTGGAAATATTCACTAAACTGTCATATTTCTACCTTTCACATGTGTTTCTGCAGTTCTTCGTGATTGTAGGGTTTTATTTTGCCATTTTCTATTGATATAAAATTAATATACATATTATTTAAGTGCATGAACCACCCTTCGTATACAGTATGTGTTTATTTTACTTGAAAGAAGCTATGACTTATCATGGTCAAACCAGGGCTTGAAAAAAGTTCTTCAATCAAACAACAATAAGAAATCAAACCAACAAGACCTTTCTTTTTCTATTTGTATTAGCCTTTGCATGGAATGAAGCTAGAGAGAAAGTGGGAAAATTCAATTTGTTTCTAAGAATTCTTTTGAAGCAAATGCCTAGGCTATGTTTACCCTTTGTATTTGAAGACTTCTTAGGAACTGAGTTGTTGTACAAGCAATATGTCTTTAAATATTCTGTATTTCACTTCCAAGTCACATGAAACTTCTAGTGTTTTCATACATTGCAAGGTAATTTAAATGATGGTCTTTTCTAATCTGTGATCTTTCTTGTCAGTCTTTAAAAACTGAAAAAATCTGAGACTATTTCTGGTAACAGTCAGACAGGTGATATTTACTTTTTAGTCTTATATTCTGGAGAGCAGGGTCTGAAGTGATCCTGTCTTATGAAAGGAATGAAGCTGTACAGTAAGTAAGCCTTTATCTTTTCGGACCTTAGCTTTTTCTGCAAACATGAACAAATCAAAAGAAAAGGTAAAGGTTAGTCCCATTCTGCCTTCATTAAGTGTTACATGAATACATACTATTTTCTTTAATCTGACAAATGCCAGAGGACAATCATATTTATTGGATAGTTCCAGTATATTTACCGAATTGTTACTATCATGATTTTTCCTTATTTAACATTTAAAAGCTCCAGCTACAATACCTTTTATTTCATCCATTCTAATTCATATTTGCCAATTGCCATTTAGCTCACCTTTATTCTATGTCACTCGCACCACCACAGAATTGATGAGCACTTTCTACAGCTTCCTCCAAACTACACAGTATGAGCCATCTTCCACTTGTTACTCTATAGTCCCACATAGTCCCACAAGTGCTGATGTTTTGATGAGGAGTTGATGTGCCTCTCACAGTCAGCTCTAGAAGCTCATGGAAGCCATGACAACTAAGAGGTAATCTGAGGACATCCCGACTGACTCATGTCTGCCCATCTCTCTGCTGGCACTCTGTAACTTGAGTAAATATAAAATATTTCTGTCCATTCTCAACAGCCATCATTTAGAATAACATAAAATTAATTTATTTCTCAGATGCCAATTGGTGGCAGAGTAGCCATTAGTCCTCTTGAGTGCATCTTAAAACAACAATTCCAATTTGCGTTATACCTCCTGTCCATATGATTATCCATTGGTCAGAAACACATAATGTACACACATACTGTAACATGGGTTTAGTACATTTATGGTATCTCTCCTTATTATGTCATTATATCAGAATTTCTGAGGAAATACATTTCAAAGCATGCTGTGGTTATCTGACTGCTGGTGCAGGCCGTGAGGGGAAGAAACAGGCTGGAGAGAGCTGTTCAAGCTCACCACCCGGTTTATTGCCCTTTTCATTACAGAGGGGTGTGCTAGTCACAGAGCAGGAGAATAGCTGGGAAGGCGGGGACAGAACCGGGCATGAGGAGAAAGAGGGAGAGTAAGAGCTTTCCCCCTGCTTTTATAGAGGAGGAAGAGGAAAGAGTGTAGTAAAGGCGGAAAGGGGGAGAGGTCATGGGACAGCCCGACGCAATAGGGTGCAAAATGTTATAATACATTTATCATTTTAAATTTATAACCTACAGAAATAATTACACTGTAACCTGCTTTCAAAATACAGATTTTACCATATAAATGTACCAGATATTAGACAGTAATGCTTCATACCCCTTTTAATGTGAAATATTTGAGGGCCTACCGTTCATCAATTTCCCTATGGGATCAATAAAGTCCTATCTATCAACATGTTTATCAGTAGAAATAAAGTTCAGCTACCTGGAGTCTTTGCATTATATCTATGTTATGTAGCATAATTTAGAAAACAGGGGAACAGTTATGCTTCCAAACTATTTTTTCGCTTTAGTTTTGAGTTTCCATGTGCAACCGGATGTACTGTATTACGGATTTATTAACCAAAGTAATAACACTCATGCAATTTTGCGATTTCATGTCTTGCTCACCAGAAACTCACAAATAACGGAGAAATATTTCTGTCTAAAAACAAATCTCTGAACTATAACAAAAACAATTTTCTTTTTCTCCAAATTCCAAAGCCTGCTGCAGATTTTGAAGCACACACAATATTGCTATTTTCACAAACTAGAAGGTAAACCAATAGATAAACCCAGTTTTACATTTACAGTACATTGTGTCCTGATGGTAAGGTCTGCTATCACTCATATACTGTACAAATGTCTTATATTAAGGACACGATAATATTTAAGAGAGTCACAGAATAAAAATGTTGTAAATCCCACTGCGGTTGAATTAGCTTTTGTGGTATAAACTCAAGTCGCGCAAGCAGGCACTGGCCGTGCTCTTGCAAATGCAAGACAGTTTCTTCCTTCATTGCCTGTCTCCCCACTTCGTCCTTTCTCTTCTCAACCAACCCTTAAGAGTATCAACCACAAACTCTCCGAGCTAGGTCGTAACTAACTTTCCTTTCAGAAAAACAAAAAAATGGACTGGGGTTTTGATTGGCTCTGTACCCCGTCAAACACTGTCTGTAACACTGCCCTAGTTCTCAGGATAAGGGGGCGGCAGAGAGAGCTGCGAATTCCAGTGTTTCAGTGTATCGGATGTTAGTGTATGAGAAGAGTAGCTGGCGGTGTGTTCATAGCACGGCTGACTCGTCCACAATGGCGCTTTGGACAGGCAGTACCCTCTCCCCTTTATCATTAACGATGGGAGTGCTCGTCATTACCACTTTCTCTCAGCCCGTTCTTTCGTGCCCGAGCCGATGTTTGTGTTTTCGTACCACCGTCAGATGCATGCATCTAATGTTGGAAACTGTACCTGCTGTCTCTCCTCAGACTACCATCCTGTAAGTATCGCCAGAAAGTTTATGGGATATTACGGGGTGTGTTGCGGGAGGGAGATTGGTGTGGTGGTAAAGCAACTGTAGTGTTTTCTGAAAGTCTCAGACATTTCAAATAACGTTTCGGGGATGATAACGTTTTTTTGGTTTTGTCTTTGAACTGTCTGAATATGATTTAAAACTGATTTATGTTCCTTAAATGCCTTTCAACTAGAAAAGCTGGGATGAAAAAGTTTCTGTTGCTGCATGTTACATTGTATTCGCTAAAAAAATCTTTTGAGAGCAACTCAGGTGGAGTAAAAATGTTTTTCGGTGTTTTGCCCAGTTCTTCATATTTTTGTTTAGTATTCGTTTGTAAATCCAGCATCGTCCAAGGTGCTGTAACTGCTTTATGTTTTTCTCGGGAAAAAAAAGTCTTAGTAAATGTTTGCGAATTGACATTAACCCCTCAATTTAAACGGTATTTAAACAGTAAAAGAAAAGTACGCAATTTTTTACATCATAAAAATGATGTCAATAGCTGCAAAAGGATCCATAGTTCTAAATTATAACTTTTATTGTCTTTATCGGCATTAATTAACTCTAGAACATTATCTGTACAGCTGTTTCATAGATTACATGTTTTGAAGGTATTGAAAAAACTAATGATGCCTGTCAACTTTTAAATAGAAAGAAATCAAGTTAATTGCTGTAGATATTAAAGTTTTAGAATAGTATGTAATTTTCAAAATCCCCACATTTGTGGAAAGTATTTCAATGAATCTGATTACATGCTTTTTGTACTGTTATTAAAAACCACAAGACCAAACCATCATACACCTTAATACCCAAAGCCTCAAGATTACATCAGTTTGTTAAATTAACGATATCTTATTAGGACATTGTTTAATCACTGGTTGAGAGAAGACTTCTGTCACCCAAACAGCCTGCTTTTCCCAGGTTTCTAGAATGCTGTGAAGAATGTGTCTGAAATTCAAGATGAATGTATTATTTTATACCTTTTTTAATTTAAATTTCACTTAATAACACAAAGGTTATTTTTGTGTGCTAACTTGCCTAGAGAAGGTCAAACATTTGGCTTCTTTTCAGTTCATTGTTTTAGTTCTAAGTAGGCCTTGTTTTAAGTGCCACGCCAGCATTCCTCCCCACTTGGATTTTAAATGATAGGAAAACACACAACCACCTATGCAATGTCATCATTATGTGCAAAAAGATTTCCATATGTGTCTTTACTTATTATGGTGAGATTGTTTGTGCTCCGGTTCAGCTTTGATTAATAGGGAACGTTTCAAGTTGTAATGAAAAATTCTCTGGCTGCTTCTCCCACTGGAAAAATATTAGTGATCATATGCTTTTTCTTCCCCGCCAAAAAGAAAAAAATGATTGTAGAGTGCAATATGTTTCTGCTACTGATGTTTGTTGACAATAGGTGGGGACTCAACAAGTGTGGTTTAATGGATTTGTTTAAACACCTACAGAGCTCAGCAAAGGCTTGTTAATATTGTTAAGCAAAAGTTGAAATGCCTAATTTTTTTATTATCCAGGGCTTTCAGTCTGAATACTGAAAACCCATAGAGAATTGCTTCAGTGAATGTGCAGCAAAAACTAAACGTGAACGTGGGCAATGTCTATATAATGTGACTTTCGCAAATCCATCTGTAATTCAAGCTGCATTGAGGAAAAATGAAGAAAAATGACTGTTTAAGGACTGCAAGATTTAGCCATACAAGTTTTAAAGAGGACTTGTGATTGCAAAATGTTCTTGTGAACATCTGTTCAAATAGGAAAAGTAAAGAATTCATTGAAAATGATACAAAAGCTCTAAGAAACATAACTCACTGTTGGGGAATGGTATGCACAGTATTTGATGGATTTCTTTAAAACCACAACTATATAGACAACATAAATTAGAGAAGAACTTACAGTAGTCTGAGAACTAGCTAGTTTTAACGTCTTGGTCCCACACTTTGTAATCACTGATTATGATTACAGTTAGTTTTATGATAATTCTATGCAATGGCAATACATATCTGTACTATCTGTAGATTTTATGACTGCGAACCTAATTATTATTATTATTATTGCACTTATATAGCGCTTTTCTGGACACCCCACTCAAAGAGCTTTACAGGTAATGGGGACTCCCCTCCACCACCACCAATGTGCAGCATCCAAGATTATATTAAATGACTTTATGCAAAAGTATTTTTCTAGACACAATTCTAAGTGAAAAGAAAAGCTGTCATTTGAGGGCTTAACATGTCCACTTCTTCCATTCCCTTCAAAACTCATGTTGTGACTGGAATTTGGCAGGCCAACATGTGTTTGCCATTTAATTATTCCCATGTACAGTACATTCTGCTCATTCATTTTGTTCTGAACAAAATAATACTGTTTGAGAAGGTTGCTCTTTACCTGGAGGGGCCAACCTTCGTCCTAGAGACCCAAAATGAAGAAGACTCACTGGTCAAACCGAACTCAATTTATAAACAAATTGAACAATTTGGTTTTGACAATTGAAGAAGTTAATTTGTTCAATTAAGTAGTTTCAAAATAATTTGAACTGCAACTACCACCACAGTGTAGGTGTCAAGAACCACTGTTGGTCATTCTGGACTTAATTGGACCGATTAACACTCAAAACTGATGAAAGTTCAATTCCAGACTGCGGTGTTTTTGTCAAGTGAAAAATAACTGAAAATTTCATCTATCTTGTTTGTGCAGTTTAACTGAGATAATTGTAAGTTAAAATAGAAGAGCTTAAAAAATCCTCACTAACCTGGTATTTTAGTATTTCTAGTACTACTACATTCTCAAGGGCTTCAACCTCTACTTAAATAGCGATTGTGAGGCGATTATTTGAAACATTTTTCACTAATTCATGATGAGAACATTGCAACATTGGAGATGAGACAGATCTTGATTTCATTCAATAATGTAATGACATTTATACTGAACAGTCGTATCAGTTACACTTCGTTTGCATTGTGTGCAAGATTGTGAGGAGGCTAGATTTGAACTCAAAAGCAAGAGCCCCTGAAGTCAGGATAGGTGAAGTCTGGTCTGCTTTTTTTTTTTGCTTGTGTTGCAGTGCTCAATTGGCATTGAGCCTGTTACAGAACATGATGTCACGCCCCCCCCCCCAATACCCTGCATAGTGTTTAATTCTCCAGTGAGGAGAGAATCAGCTTTTTGGCACAGAGAAATTCTCTGCAGTCTGGGTCTTGTTTTATAGGTGAACTTAATGGAACGGGCTTCTCTCATTTCTAATTTTTCTAATGAGACCCTTAAAGATTAAATGCAATGCTATTTTTATATTTTGGGGTTAGAAAGAATAGGCATTGATGAGTGCATTTCGAACAACAATGAAAGTAAAATGTACAGTACACAGTAACATGTAGGAACCCCAATTTACATCACAAAAAAGCGCCATATTGCTGTTGTTGTCTACGATTCAGGACAAGGCAACAAAACATCCTGTGATGAGAACCGGCCTGTGGTGAAATGTTCGCTGCACAACCTCTCATTATTCTCTCATTCGCGCTACATTAGTCATTACAGTGACTAGTGAGCAGGAAGGGCTGACCTTACATCACAATTTGAGCAAACGCCTACAACACGGTTCACAATGTTGTGTTTAATTCAGAATTTGTAATATTTGCAATCCTGTTAATTGAATTATTTTGTTACCGAGATTTAATAACTGGTCAGAGAAATTGTGACTGCGGTTCCCCTTTAAAAGATGCTGTGTAAAAATCAGTGAACAGTTGAATTTTGTAAAAGTAATCAGCCTTTATGCTCAAGAACGTGAATCAATAAGCTGCTCAACAGTCTTTGTTCCCCTTGGCACATATCCTGAACCTGAGGGAAGAATAGTTGTATTCCTGATGTGGAAATTATCACTCATTAAAGTGAGGTCAGATGATCCTGCTAAAAACATGCTAAAATACTTTTTAAATATTTGTTATCATAAAGCTAAAAAGCCCCCTGCTTTGGATGTGATTCTTTAGCTATGATGAAGTAAGGCTCATTTAGGTTCACGGGTTAGGATTTTTTGTTGGTGACCTCAATGTGAATAGTATAGTCTATGTACAGCAAGCTGTCTGTGCACTATTTTTGTATGCAAGTACATTGGCCTTACATTGGTGGCATGAGCTAAGAAAAGGGTAGAACTTCTGTAATGTACTGTAGATTGTAATTATTGGTTTTGATCGGCCCACTGTTCTTGACTTTCATTGTGCTTGACTTGGTTGGTATTTTAGATCCCTATTTAGCATGCCTAACCTCTTTTGTTATTCTTTAGATTTTCAGGGAGTTGTTATTGTTTATAGTATTTTTCATTCCAAAGGATCTTAAAGGACTTTTACATGTACTGGAGGACACGGTTCAACCACAGCTGAAGTGCTGCTTCAAGCAGGGTGATTCATGACAGCCATTATGCATCAACCTACTAGGCAGCATCTCAGGGGTGAAACGGAGGACATTTCTTCACCTCTTGAATAGAGAGAGAACTTTAGGAAACCCAGATTTAAGGTCATGGACATTAGCAAATGTAAAGGAAACCTTTTGGCCCGCTGAGCTTGTTTGGTTGCTAGTGGATAATTATTTGGAGATACTCATCCAGATGCTTCTGGAGAGAATAAAAAAACTTTTCTTGACTTCAACAACATTGTTGAGTAGGCTTTTCCAGACTATTTTATCTAGAGTTATCTCTGTGAATACCTTGGAGGAATTTGTTGAAAAAGTACGATTGTCCAATGGGAATTTCAGTTGATGTGCCAAGTTCCCATGTATGCTTGAGGAACAGGTTCCCTCTCAAGATTATTCCAAAAATTAAAAAACTTGGATGATTTCAGCCAATCAAATTTGTTGTGTGCTTATTATTTGTTTTATTGCTTGTGTCTTATTGATAATGAGGATTTCTTCCATCACATCATTTTTGTAACATTTTATATGTGTTAGGTTTTGTGGGTGTTAAGAATGATGTTGGCACTCACCAAAGAAAT